TCTCTCTCGTCTCTCTCTCTCTCTCTCTCTCTCTCTCTCTCTCTCTCTCTCTCTCTCTCTCTCTCGCCGCAACTGAATTACAATTTCCGATAACAGAAAGATTAGCGATCTCCGTCGATCCGTCCCGATACCTATATTCGTCGGGCACGCCGGAAGCATTAAATTAGTTGCCATAATTGCGGCAGATACGCCAGGGAAAATTGTAATCGTCGCGGACGATACGAGTTATGGTTATTAGGGGCTCGTAAACGGCAGATAGTGATAGCCCGTGCGATCGATACAAGTGTCGAGAAGACGCGCGATAGAACTCAGGCGGCATCATCGCGCGAGTGTCAGCGCAGCTGAATTTGGATAATCGCGGCTGAGTAGAGTGTACGTAATCTAAATTCAAGAAGCAGGAACAGTACATGGTAATTGTAATTACACTATGCGTCGCTCTCCCTCATCTTCTGTTCATTTAACGACACATCCTGTCATCTTTCATCACGGCTGGTAAATTAATCAATATCCCTGTTCAATTTGAATCACAAATTAGTTCTACAAAAAGTTTCTGATTTTAAATTATAAATTAGTCTTACAAAGTTTTCAATCTCAACTGGTCGGATTTGGAATGTCTCTTTTTTTCCGGTCGGAAATTGAAATCATTATAATATCTTAATTCCCCACGTCGTAAACGTCCGAAAATGCATCTCAGCGATTTATTGGTGTCGATAAAAGCGCGATTAGCGTCAGGTACGTTTTTCCGTGATTTCAAAACCTCGAAAATTGGACCCGCCGAAATTATACCAGTTTCGATCCCGCGAGCTATTGGCTCTTTGTTTTTTTTTTTTTTTTTCGTTAGCCGAGGGGAGGGTAATCGTTCGTGATCGATCGAAGATCGTCCTTCCTCTATCTTGTGTGGTTGCGGCCGCGACGGTGATGCGCTGCGGTGCCGAGTAGACGGACGGCTATTTCCGCATGACATCACACCGCCCGCATTTAGGGAGCAACACGATTTTCTATTTTCTCGACGGCTCGACATTGGTGGCCTGCAAGGTCGGTCCCATCGAGATACGTCTCGATCAGTTTTTATTGACCCCTTCCCCTGCCCTCTCGACTTCCTCTCAGCGATAAGCACCACTCGCGCCGCTTAAAGCGATGCTTTTCTGTCTCCTTTTCTCAGAAGTCTATAATCATTTGCCGCTGTTAGAGAATTCCCCAATTCAGTGTTGCATGAGATTGCTGGTTTTTACCACACTAATTGTTATTCCTATGTAGGACTTATTGGAACCATAAATCATTTTTATTATCTCGCTTCTATTTATTATCCTGTCATCATACTTTTTTATAAAGATCTTATAAAATTGCATGTTTATTCAACAATTAAATATTTTGATTCTTTATGCAAAGCATTCATTGCACTTTAATTTTTTTTTTTTCAATATTTAACATGTCCACTTTTTTTTATTACGTGCTGTGTGTGCTGCTTGAAAAGGATTCCTAGAGTATAATGAACTATGCTATTTCTTTGCTGTTTCTCCTTGTATCTTGTAATGTATGAAAGGAAAAGAAGACGGGATTAATTTCGGGATTGTTCGCGACGCTTCCGCAATTAGGCGGGTACCGTGAATAGCAGATAGCAATAGCGGAGGACATAAAACTCGACTCGACGTATACACTTGTCCCGTTAATACGCCAACGATCTAATCTTGCGCATCATCCACCGGGCTCGCCTTCCTAATCGAGAAATAATTGTACGAATTTGTCGGTGCGACCGCCGTCGTCATTCTGCCGAAAACACTCGTGTGCGGCCTTGTTCGTCGAGTGTGTTGCTTCTTGAAGCTTTTTCTACGCATCTCGGCCGGAACAATGGAATCGACGTGGAGACAAAGGAGCTGCTCTACTCCCTTCCGTCTGGTTTTCTCCGGTTTATGCGCGGTACCGTTCGACCGGCGCTAACTCGGTTAGCCATTCGTTAGCGAAATTAGAGGAGATCGCGAAAAATAAGGTGCTTGAAACGCCGCCGCGGCTGCTTGATTCGCCAGCGGAGCGCTCTCAGCTGCGCAATTAGCCGCAGAAAACTTGTGAATGAATATATAAATAGAAGTTGGCTTGCGTAAGCGCGCTGTTGCGTCGAAAATACAGATATAGATCGCATCTGCTTTGCGGAATAATTTCATCTCGATTCGTCTAAAATTAGCGGCTGATCGCGTAGGAAAGTGAATGCGAGTGCTGTGAGCTCCGGGACACCCTGTATGCGCGCGAGAGATGCACAAATGCTAAGCCGGCATTATGTCACGGTAGCCTCGGACGGGAAAAATGCCGAGAGTGGTGTAATTCGTAAGAGCGAAGTCGTTGAAGCGAGTTGATTCGCGCGCGCGATTTCTCTCTTATTAATTTCCATCATTTACACCTGGAACGCATTCAGCGAATCGATTGCCCAACTCGTAGTCCGTATCCGGGTCGCGGCGCGACGCCGATCATCCGCGACGATCTATCGATCGACATATTCTCCGTTGATAGACCAGATCCACCGCGGAAGAGGATTTCTGCGCGAACGATTTCGTAACGACCGATTACGCCCCGCTCGGCATCCGTCGGTTTTCCTTACGTGTTAATTCCATTCCATCGCTTGTTACGCCAGCGGGTATTCCTTACGCAAAGAAAACCATCGTCGAGCTTTGCGAAATCCGTAGAGGCGTTTCTGGATTTCGCGCGATGCGCTACGACACGTGCAAAATATCAAACGTGTACGATTATCAATCTGATTAGTATCATTATGAGCATCGCGAATTTTTCACTTGTGAATTTTTAGCCTCCTCGTCGAAGGACTGTTTTTCAGATTATACTCTCATGCTCGTAATATCTCTCTTAAAAAGAACAGACTTCCAAGGTCTAAAAGTTTTTCTCGAAATGCCATTATTACGTGGACGTTCTTTGAGAGGCTGTTCCCGAGTAATAATCCTCTGTGTTTCCACAGAGTAATCGCAATCGCCGGCGCAACGTTTTCTTTTCGCTCTTGTTCTCTGGTTATTCATGCGTTCCTAATAGCTCGTAGCGTTGCGCGGCGACTGAGATTTTCTCCACGAGTCACGGCCGATAGGTAATTTTTGCGCGTTTTGATCGGAGAGATCGAGCGTAGTTCGAGGGGACAAGCCGATCGTGGAGCCTTGAACGGAGGAGCGATCGGTTGGTCGGTCGATCGATTGATTTTTTCGTCACGGCGTCTGGTTGCACCGCTACCGCTCTGTTGCAGGTGGAAGCGACTCTTGCTCCCTGATTCCCTTCCGAGGCTTCTCAGAAATTCTCTCCAGTCATCGAGACGAATTCCACCGAAATTCAGAGGGAGGGGTAAGGGAGAAGGGAGGACAGTTAATGGCTTTATACTTAGGTTCCTCAAAATCTCCGCCGCGTCACACAGATTAATTTGTTTTTTCCTGCGTCTCGTCGGTCGAGAAATCGAATCGTACCATCGCGTTTTATCATTTGACGAAAGATTCGCGCGCGCTTCAGGAATTCCGTTCGTACAAAATACAAGAGTGACTCCGCTTATGGCTCTCGTGCTGTAAAAAAGAAACTCGGAGACAATATATAACGTGTATATTCGTGAGAAACGAAAAGACGGAAAAGGGACATCGGGACCGTGTGTCCCGGCCGACTCGTAGGACGTGGTAGAAAATAAAACGAGAAGCGGTGGGGTCATAAAAATCCGAAGCGCAGGTATAAACCAACGATCTATAAGTCCGCGCGCGAGGACGATCCTAATCTCGCGTGCCACGCTGGCGGAGAGAGTTTACGCTCGGAAAACCAAAAAGATATCATCGAAAAGGGAGAATAGCGGCGTTGGTCGCTAAATTGTCGAGATTCGTTAGAAAATGGGTATGCGACGTGTCGCGCATCCGGAGGGAACGTCGGAGCTCGAAGGAATTTCGGAGTGCACCTTTGCTGATGGCGTTAAAATTTTTCCACTTTCTTGTTTTATTATTTTTTTTTTTTTTCTCGTAAGTAATTCAATGTGAAAATTCGCGTTTTTACGGAAATTACACGACTTCGTTATTGCCGCGATGATCAAAGATTCCCCGAAAAAATTCACGCCAAGAGTCGCCCAGCCGTTCTCTTCGTCCCGATTTGAAGGCCGACCGTTTCCTCCTGCCATTCTTGGCACACCCGTCATAAACGCTGCTGTGCGCCGTGTCTCCAGGTACACTTCGTTGTTGATTCATGCTTTACGCCGACATTTTTATTCCCGCCGTCGTTCTACGGGAGATATATTCGTCGCAGACGAGTGACAGTAAAAAGAGGCGGGAAACGTTGATCCGTCATACATGTCTTACGAGGTAATTAATAGAGGCTTCGGCTCGTTCGCTCGGACCATAAACCGCGGTCGCGAAGGTCGCGGGAGCGAAGGAGCCGAACGACGCATAAATTTCACGCGCGCACACTAGCGCGCGGATTTCGCGAATCGCGCTGCGACGCCGCCGTTGCCGCGCGTTCGAGTTAATGATCGCGGTAATTGAATAAATACGGAGGACGCGATTAGTCGCGGCACCCGAGACGCGCTTTAATGAGCCCGCCGCGTCTAAATCACCGCGCTCGACTTACTGCAAATTTAATCTAGAGTTAATCGGCATTTAATTTAAATAACGCCCCGCGTAACTAACATACTTACGTTTCCCATCAGTCGAGCGCCGACGCTCGATTTATCTTTGCGTTAATCGCTCAATATTCGGCACTTTGATTAATAAAATTCGACGGCATATGAAAATTTTGATAGTCCTGGCTAGACGCAGCTGTAGTTTCGAAAACATTCCAATGTCATGAATAAATCAAAGTTTATTGCAACTTTTAATGCAAAACGTGCGAGGATCGCTGATTTCTTTATTATACATTCGTGAAGGAAGCACGCAAATACACAAGAAATGAAGAGAAAGAAAAAGAAACACAAGATTTTCGGTCGAAGAAAAATGGATAGTCAATAAAACCGTAACATTGATATGGCATTTATCATTGTGTCAACGTGATATCGTTGTCGCGGTTTTATTTTTTCTTGAACCTGGCTTTCTTTGTCGCCACCGCAGTGTTGGGTAACTTTGGGTTAGACTGATTTTTGTGCTTCTTGCTCTCGACGTGCTGAGCGAACGTGGTCTCCGAGTTCAACGATAGATTGCATGGTGCACAGTAATATTGTCCTGCGAAACAAAAAAAAGTCAACGTTGCGTTAATGTTGTCTCGCAGGATGATTTTTTTTTCTAATTTCTTGATGTCACAATGAGAGAGAGCTCTCTTACCCGATGGTGTCCGGTAAATGGAGTAATCTATAGGTTCCGAGGTGCTGGACGCGTTCTCGTTCTCCACAACTGAAACAGAACACACGTAAAAGCAGTGATTCGACGCGACGCGCTGGTCTCGCGCGCGAGATATTACCGGATTCAGGCACGGGGAGTCCGTTCAGTCTGAGCATCCTCAGATGCCGAGCACCGCGTTTGTGCGTCTCCAGCTGATCCTGCCGATTCGCCGAGACTCCGCACAAGTCGCAGCGCAGCGGCGTAGGATACGGCGGTGCTGTGTACATGGCCGGCATCGCCGCAGCCGGATTCGGAATCGCGGTCGTTGCATCAGACACTACTATTGGTGTCGCGGCTGGCGCGGATTGCGCGTCCGTTTGAAAGGACATCCCTATTCCGAAGCGACCCGTCGAGTCCACCTGGTTGTATTGATTTTGATTCTGCGACTTCTTTGACGGCCTGCGAAATGCGATATTGTTTTATTATTATGATGATAAACACCGACTCGATTGTAACATATGTACATTGTTGCGCGCGTCACTGAATAGTTAAATGCATTAATTATTGAATTACATTATTACTATTATATATTATCACTACGCAACGGCGTCTCATTATTATCGTGACAAATGCGACTGAGCTCGGCTCGGCTGTTATACACAGCCGTTGTTACACGCGTAACTGTGTCGTTAATTATTAAATTATTTCGTTATTGCTGTATTATTAACGCAATTATTATATCAGAGAGGTGAAATGTATACCTCGTACGGGGTCCGCCATTCGCCGCCCTAATGTGCTTTTTGCCCGCGTAGTGTTGCGTGGCGTCTGTTTGCGACGTGAACCACGTTTTACATATCTAGCAACGTAGATCGTATGCGAGGTACATTAATACGCAATCTATGTACGTAAATACATAACTGTAGGCGAAACATTTTGGGCCTCTTACATCACAGTAGTTTTGCCAGTCGTTATTGGTCGTACTGCTCACTTGGCCGTCGTCCGTTTTCTGTTTTTTTACGCTCTGATTGAGATACATGGACACTTTTTTCTGATGCGGCTTGCCGTCATAATGCAATTTCGCTTGCAACGTGGAGTTCATCTGCAAAATACGATTCGCTTCGTCGGTACATGCTTGTAACTATTCGACTATGAGATCTACATCGCGTCAACTTATTCTCGGGACTTAAACTATATTTAAACGGAGAGCGGGATCTCTAATCTCGATCTCTAATTATCCGATTATGAATGAGCCGAGCCTTACAACTGCATTACATAGATCACACTTGAGCGGTTTCATCAGCGCCGACAGTTCCCTCTGCGCGCTCGCCACTTTCTCTGAAAAATAACAACGTAGAAATTAATAAGCGCAATTTATTTTAATACTTGAACACAGCAATTCGCTTTTTATTCTTAAATTCACGTCTTTTCTCTTTAATTACCCGCATCCTGAGCAGGATCGATAAACTCATTCTTGCGTTTGTAAAAATTCTTGTTCTTGCTCTTTCCCATAGCAGGTGTCACCGTGGAGGAGGCCGCCGTCGTGATCACCGCGCCTTTGTAAGTCGGATCGTACCACTGAGCGTAGATGTCCGAGGTATCGTTGTCGGTAGGTATCCACCAGGGAGTCGGAGTCGCCGGTTGTCCAGGGGGTTGCGGTTGCATCGCGGGGTGCAGCATGAACGGACTCGGAGGTACGTTCGGGGGGAACGTAGCGAGGCTTGGCGAAACTCCATCGTTCGCGGTCGCCACCGCTGCCGTGATCGCCGTTATCACACTCTCGGTCGTTGTCGCCGATCGTTGCTGCTGCGTCGTTGTCGATGGTGTATTGCCATCCGAAGGTTTGTTCGTAGAAGTCGGCGGTGGCGGCGGCGGCGGTGGCGGTGGCGGGGGAGGCGGCGGTGGAGGCGGTGGCAAGAAACATTCGAATCCTGTTGCGGGAGAAACGACATAAGTTGAAGGTTTCCGTGTCATTTGTGCACGAGATTTCAAGGGAAAAAAAGAAAGGGTTCTTGAGGGAACGGCAGTGTTTGTCTCGCTTGAAAAGAAATGCACAAGTCCGTAAAAATCGAAAGTAAATCATCGCAAAGCGCCCCGCTGTTTTACTGCACGTAATTGCCGGTGGTTTTGTATAGAAAAAGAATTCTTGGGTTTACAACAGGATGGGAGTGACCGTGCAGAGCGGTACGCGTCTATATTCCGCATCACTCGTTTATTTATATTTATTCCAACTGAGGTCACACCACTTACAATTAGTTTAACAACGAAATGTAGCAAGGTAACTAATAAAGGGGCCGGAGAAGCTTATTTAACTTTCATTAACTCCGTCGGATAACAAGTTTATTAGTGCACCCGGATTACAACGATGTATCATCCTTACCGGCAACGATCCGCCGCGGCGGAAATTTTACAACGCGGACTTACGAGATTTACGATCGCGATAGCGATCGCAGGACGGGCGCGGATTCGCCTCTTTCGGCGTATAACGCGAAAAAGCATATATAGATAAAGCCCGGTGTGTCGCGCGACGCCGTTAAGATGTCTATCGCGCGCTTATAATTTACGGAAGAATTGTATTTAATTGTCCGCAATACACGTCAGGCTAATTCCCACGGCCGACTGATGCGAAGCACCTGCGATATTACCGCGTTTTAAAGCACTCGACCATCTCGCGCACTAAACGGCAGCATATATTTATGTTAGCAATATCGGAAGATGCAGTTTAAAAAGATTAGGATTGACAGGATGGTTCTGTTTTTCTACTAAAGCTATCACCGTTTTTGCGAACGAGTACAATTTGTTATAATATATTGAAACATAAACAGAAAATGTATAAGAAACATATATGTAAAGGCTACGATTTCGAAGGAATGTTCAGTGTCAAAAACATTAAAGAATCGATGGTTTACTCGCGTTCCCAAAACTCTCTCGATTTTTCGCGAAGACTCCAAATCTTCCTCTTCGTCTCGCGGTTCAGAGTCGATCTCTCGATCTCCTTTTTCCAATTTTTCTAGTTATAATGATTTCCACAAACTCTCTGAATTTTCCCTTTCACATCATTTTTAATCATACTTTCCCATTCATTCTAATTTCACTCCCACTCGTCTCTTTTGTTCGCTCTCCTTCGCTCGTATTTATTCTCGCTCTTACTCGCTCTCTCTCATTCTCACATTTGCTTCCATCATTTAACTTATCATACGTCCACGCGTACGCCGACATAATTTATTTCAACGCCCGTTAGCCTCTTATATCCTCGATATTATGTATTCGCAAGCGGATATACGTATATGAACCAGTTACATATTTCTCAGCGCGAGATCGATGTGAGTATAAAACGTACGATCGCAGGCGAAAACATTTTAAGCCGTATTTATCTTGCTTTAAATATTCTAGTCTGAGGAAACTATTTATGTTCGAATTTAATCAGACCAAGTATTTTACAATTAATAAGCATGAAGTTTTTATCGTTACGCATGTTGTTTAAATACTGTATGTCTTGCAATTTTATATTATTATATTACCTAAATATTCTTTAAATATTAATATGCTATTTAAATATTACATGTTATATTATTAATTTTTTAAATTTTATAGTTTCCAAATTTTATTTGAGTATCAATGTAAAATTAATGAACACCGAGTTATTTATATTTCACGTAAATCATCTCGATATTTTACGAAAACCTCAAAGTATTGATTGACTTATCCTTTTGCGATATCAATAGAATCGGTACGCAACAGTGGTATATAAATACCACGACTGCACTCAATAAAATCTGAATTGAAACAGAAAGCTCAAAATCACGAGTGAGCTCTCATATAATATATGCAATGTTGGTTCATCGCATAATCTATACCATACTCACAATTTCCTCGTTAATGCATATGCACTTTAATTGTCTCGTCCGATGGATCTCGAGCACCGAGGAAACATTCACTATTCTCAATAACATGTTTTGCTATGACCGGGAGCATGTACTTTTTATGTTTTTCTGTTCTCTTTTTTTGACACTGCCATCACACAGGCACACGCTATTGTGAAGCGGGAGGAATCGGAGCGGAGAGGAAAAAAAGGTTATCCTGCGAGTGACGGACGACTCACCCGGCACTTCTGGATTTTCTATGATCTTGGCGCTGGACATTTTCTCCCGCGCTCTGTGGCGGCTCACTCGGTCGAGCGATGTTTATTTTGTCGCACGCGATGGTCGACGAGGGACTTGACTCACGACGACAACGCGATACCACGTTCTCGCGCGCGCCGCAAATTCGTAGTCTCGCGCTTGACACCGTTTCGCGTCACGTAACGGCGCGTAACGTCGCACCGTGACTCGCACGTCGGCATCGAATGTCACTTGTCGCACAAAGGAATGCGAGAGCGAAAAAGTTGAGGTTAATTGAGATGAGTTTGACACGAGCTGCGAGCCGACGACATTACACGATATTGACCGACGGCGCAAGATGGCTGCTCGCACCACGTCCGTCGCTCGTGCACACTGCGCGGTATTATCGCATGCGGCGGTAGGGAAGATCCGATTCCGCTCGCACGACCGACCGTTGATGGGAAGTCCATAGTGACGATGGAAGCCATGAATGAGTTACTCCCGTGCCTCGAGCAGAAAATCGCTGACGGCCACAGTATGGTCGAGCGGCTGAGACTCATGGACAAGATCGACGGGATCGACAAACTGATTCGGAAGATCCAACAAGAAATAAAATTTTTGGAGAAAGTATGGCACACGTGTTTCACAATTCAAAACACATTTGCCAAAATCAAGATTAATTGCACCAAGTTATTTGTTATATTATAATTGTAATTAACATTACAAGTTTGTTTTTGTTACACTTTTTCCAAGTCTACGTGTATATTTGATATATAAATTGTGTGTTTAAAGTGTCAGTATAATAGAATAGTACAAGTACTATTAATAAATTGCTAACATTGCTAACATTTCTTTCAGGTACATTGTACAGGAAATGTAAAAAAGGAACATTTACAAAGCACAAATCTGATTCATCTCAATGCTATGGTGGCTCGATTATCTTGCTCAAAGGATCCTGTCAGTGTAATAAAACCCTTCAAGTATCAGAAATCACGTTTGGAGGTTGATATAGTATGTAACAATGGTGCTTCTTGGGTGAAAGTTATAGCGAGAAACGCGAGAGCATTAACTCTGATATCTCTTGGTAATGGAGAATACGGACAGAAGTCTGTTTTGGATCAAGCTAATTCTTATCTGATGTGTAGCAAATGCCATTTGCACCACTATAGGCCACCCGATGTTATATTTCACTTTGCCTATGGCATAGAGATTCCTCTAGCCATACGTTTGGAGCAAATGGGCATTAAAGTCGAAGGAGAACGGATAGATGCGGACAATGAGATTTTGAGTAGTCAGCACGATATATCTGGTAAATATGTAAAGCATAAATAACCAACCATTATGTTGTATGAACATACTTTGACTCATGATATACTTATTCTTGTACATTTATTTTTTGGAGGTAGAACACGATGAACTGGATATTTCCGAAGAATGTGAAAAGGATTTGGATGTGGATCTGCAATCATTAAATACATCTGCACTCTCGACTGAAATCAAGCTCCTTAATCTGGATGTGTCGACCTTGCTGGCTTATGTTACAAATATGGCAAATGGATATAATAATTATATTTATCGAGAGCCACTACTCACGCAGCAAGCCGAGATGGAAAGAAAATGCCCTATAAAACCAATTCTAGATGATTTGTTTCAAGACAAAGAAGTTATTGTTTGCCAGACGGCGTATAACAATTTTATGAGTATCATTGATGTCATCGGTGGCCCGAACGAGACATTGCGGGCACATGAATTGTTGAAGAAAGTCCGGATTGTTGACGATGTAACCACTGGGCGAGTTATGGAACTGCGCTTAGGCGGTAGAATTAAAGATCGGTCGCGATTAGTTTTTGCAACAGGTGAGAATATGAAAAGTATCACTGTCTCCGCTAATGAAGGATTCGTGAGAGCGGCACGTATGCAGGTAAATCCATTTATCATGCAACAGTATCATTTTGCAATTTTAAGTTATTATATACATATATTTTTTTCAGGGCATTGAGTGTACAGTTTTCCTACACGAACCAAGATCTCTATCAGAAATTAAAGAAGGTAATGCCACAATGAGTATAGAACCATCTTGATATTATTTAGGATATTTATTTAGACAATTACAAAGAAAACATACACTGGCATATGAAACATTAGACATATTTAGGCTCCTAATTTATTATACCAGTTTACATTTAAAACAATGCATTAAAATGACATTTGCTATTATCCTCTTGGAAAAGGTTATTATACTTCATTGATTACTTGAGTATTGAATTTGTTAAACTCAATTTCTATATTTTCTTCAAATTCTGCAAAAGATATAAAATAAATGATTATTATATGAATCAATATATGAGACTAAGTGTTATTTCAAAACGTTTGACAATACCTTTGATAAATTTGTTGAAGTGGGGATTCTTTTCTTTAGCTATTTCTATGCACTCGTTACTTTTCTTTTTGTTCCCAAGATGCATGTAACACTTAGCACTATTTAAAAGAGCTTTTAGGTTTGCATCATTTACTTTTAGCGCCCATTCGCAATCATGTAAAGCCTTTTCGAATAATCCAAGATTTATATATGATAATGCACGATTATTCCATAATACAGAGGAGTCTTTACGTTGCTCTAATGCTTTATCATAATAAGTTACAGCTTTTTCGTAATCACCTTCTTTGAACGCACCATTTGCAATTCTTTTCAATGTTTCTGCGCGCTCGTTTCTGATTTTACGGTCTTTGGCTCGTTTTCTCGCGTCATCTTCCACACTCTTCATGAACATCTCTATTTATACAAGTCACTTTTAATTTTTAGTTCATTAATAGCAAACGCATTACTTACCTCGTGACATTTTGTCCGGATCATTGGAAGAATTATCTTCCTTTGAAGAATATTTATTAATTAGTGAGCGATTGGTTTTAATCTTTACCTCTCCATCTTCATAAATTTCTTTTTGAATGTTTTTCTTTAAAATTTCGTCGGCTAACTTTTGTCCGCATTCTTGTTCTTTTGAATCGGAAGATGCTAACTTCTTCACGATTTTTTCTTAAATGAATAATTTGACTGAAAAATATAAACTTTTTTGCAGCAAATCAAGTGAATACCTACCTACTTCAATAACACGATGCATAAAATTTTGAAATTCTTCTTCTGTTACGTTTTTGTCAGGATTTAATTCATTAATAATATGATTTGCTTGGTCTACTTTGTTACAGCTTATTTTATTTTTTATATCCGTATCCATTTTTCATGTAAAAGTGTAGAAACATTTGGAAAAATCTGTATGCCTTGCACAGAGTATTATGAAGTGGCTTGTTTCCATAGAAACGTAAGTGTTTTGTTGCTATGGTTTTTCGGGCTATATATGCTATTGTATATTATTGTTGCATATTTATGTAATCAAAATGTGTGTACAATGTATATGTTAATTCATCAAATTACTACATAAATCTAATATAATTTAAAGAATAATTTTTATTATGCAGATACAAATTGTGTGAAGCAGATTTTGGTTTGTATAGCTTTATTATAAAAAAGAGTAAGAGCCTATAACCATTGTTAACAAACATACAGGAAGAAGATTAGTTGTAAATTGTTGATTTTTTTGTAATATATATTTTATAAATATATACAGTACGAAATGAAGTCGAAAAGTAAATATACATTTTCCAGTGATTTCTGTGTGCTTAATTTTGAATTGCACTGACTGCAACTACATGCAATATATGTACTGTACATGTATATATTTATAAAATATATATTATTTTATATTTAATATTTTTAATTTATATATAAATTTTCAATTTGTGTAATGTACAATTAGGATGCCATGTATGAAAGTATATTATGTAGTGAAACAGGGTGAGAACCAGAGTCGCAATTTTAGTTTATGAAAGTTTGGTAATGAATGTATTAACTGTTTCAACTTTTTCTTGGAGAGAAGTTAGTATGAGAACGGGTACTTTTCCTTGACGAGTGGAACGATAGTTGAGAATACAATGGTTGCGTTTGTGAACTAGATGCTTGATTGACTTCCAAACATTCTGTATCCACCTCATCGACCTCGAGAGGATCCATATCAGCGTCTTCTTCCACATCTGAGGATATTTCGATTTCGTCCTTTATGTAAATCATGCTCAATTCGTGTTCGCTAGGATTCTTCTTAGATTTCCTTCTGTCTAATGGCTCGTTTCGCTTATTATCTGGCACATGAGAGGATGGTTTCCCAGCTGTAATTTCTATCTCGTCCATAATGCAGCATAGTTTCTCAAACGGTAACGGCTTGTCATTTGATATCGTGGATAATACACGTGGCCAGCTGATTACTTGATCCGAGGGTTCTTTTCTCTTCTGCTGTGTGGCTAATTGTCCACTTGGCAATCCTTTACTTGTACTTGGCATATCGTTAATATCTATAATACTGATACCAGAACTGCTGGCCTCCAGACGTTGGCACAACTCAGTCACATTAATCTCCTCCTTCTTCTTCGTCGCGTCCTGAGGAACTTTAGGTGGTATTTTGTAAGGAACAAATCTTGCTTTACCCTGCGTCCTCGATAGACTCGTTTCGTGTTCAGAGCTGATATTCCTACTGTCACTCCTACTGGACAAGCTCTTAGGACTAGTTTCTTCTAGTTTCGGTCGTGACACTGTGTTGATCTTTTTCAACGTGTCGAGTTCCTTCGCGGTGTTATTTGTTCTTTCCGTAAACAGCACCGATGTCGGGATCTGTCGTAGTCCATTGACCTCTAGGATTTCGGCTAGCTTGAGCAATCGTCTAACCTCACTTTGAACTACCTGTATCTCGCCGCAGTACATGAAATTTATGAGAGTCTTGAGGTCGTCGGCTTCGACGTCGTGGAGGATAATCATCGGATGCGGATGATCGTTGGCTACCAACAGTCGACGAAAGAACGAACTCGAATTTGCCAGTACCATCTTGTGACATTTGAGAATAGTGCCATCCTTGCACACCAAGGAAAGATCGACAAATTGTTGTTTTTCGTAACAAGTATCAAGAGAAACCACCAAATGAGACGGGAAGCTCGGCCACTTGAAACTCAATACGGAATCCTCCTTCATCATGACGATTTAAGTCAATTCATACGAGTTTTACGATCGAATGACGCGTGACGCTCAATATGCGGCGTTTCAATATGACAACAACACTCGCCATGACACGTGCCGCTGTTATTCTGCTCTTCTGCTAGCCTTCCCGCGAAAGCGTGATGCGCATAGCTATATTTAACATGTATCTATTTATAAATCACGACAGACGTGTTTTCTCGTTGTTTGCCAAAAAAAATCTCTTATAGAACACACCGTAGTGTGAGACACGACTGCTGTGTCTATAAACGTCGCTTAGCATTGAGATTGAGAAGTAAATTAAAAACAATTAAAAAATATAGAATAATTAAAGAATTGATATTAAATTTGTACAAAATTTTGAAAATCAATTCTTGTCTTTTAATATTGTAAAAACGCAATTTTTACGTGTTTTGCTTTTAAAATTCCCGCCCTAACTTCTCAAGATCGAGACGAGATCTCGATCGACGGCGATCGACTTACGGCGAGTGCGATATCTCGACGGGCCAATTGGGTTCGATAATTGCAAATGGTCGTTTAATAACAGATGATTGAACGCGTTCCACAGAGCGCGCGGCGTCGCATTTATCTGTCAAACGCGGTGGCGGCCGGCCGCGACGGATCCGGTGATGCGCCGTCGGCTGACGCGCGTCCGTTGAGCGTTGAACCGGCGAAGCGTAGATCTCAGCGAGAACGCTTCGAGGGAACGTGATACTGTTTATCCTCAGACTCGGCCAGTACCGAGAGTGCGACAGAGAAAGCGTGACGCGTGAGCGAGCAGAGCGGTTAACCTTTTGAATAAGCACGTCTTGTATTATGTGATCGCGAATCGCGCGACGAGCGAACGACAACACAAGGAACGATAGAAAGAAAGCCGCGGGGAAAATGCGGACGCATACGTGTGCCGATATTTTCTGCTGTCTCGTCGTGCTGATTCTCGTTGTACTGTCGACGTTCGGCCGTGCAGGTGAGTACACGTAGCGTTCGTTTTCTCGCGCAAAAGACACCGGTAAGAATAAGACAGAAAGAGAGAGGGCGAGAGAGAGAAACATAGATCCGTGCCAGGCTGTCGTGTCTGGCTGGTAAATTAAAGCCTGAGCGGCCACGAAATTGGTTCGTCCGAGTGAGCCACCGCAGTCACCCCAGCTTTAGCCACAATGGTCTTCTTCCGCTCTTTCTCTCTCTATCCTTCTCAGTCCCTTTCATCTCAGTCTCCGTCGTACCTTCAGCATCTGTTTTCCTCGAAAGCATGTGTCCTCTCCGTGCCGAGAAACGGGAGAGCACCCTCTGCTAATACGTAGAAATGAGATAACTACGATGTGTGACGCATATGTCTTTCCGGTAAGCGCTAAAAATGCTATTTTTTTTGCTGCGGAATATGCATCGAATAATTTCTGCCAGAGTTGTTCAAAGCATTTCTACACGGGACAGATTTACACGTAAAGTACTTTTTTTTGCGGAGATTTCCAGGAAGCATTTGTCGCGATAATTGAGCGTATCAAACAATCTGTCGTTATTACGCATGATATGATAAAAATACAAATATTCGCCGCCTCTCAAGGCGTATCTCTCTTCTGCTGAGAAAAGTGTGTTACTTCAAAAAATGTAGACATAAACGCAAACTTTATTCGTGCAATCACTATTGACGCAATCATCGAATTTTAAACTAAAATATCGAAATAGAGAGTAAATGTATACTTTATTTTACGATTTGCAGCTAGAAAGATAAATATTTTATATAAATTTACATAAATAAATACTTTGTCTTGGCTCTACGAGCCAAGTAACGCATAAATATACATCTCATATCACAAGCTTTGTAACAATCGTATTTTTTTTATACTGACTCGTTACTGATTAATCGCGTGCACGTAATTAGTAGTTTTTTTGCATCTTTATCCTTCGCATTCAACTCATTATAAAAGCGAATTTGAAACGCTTAGTTGCGGGAGCCCCGTCTTTTTTCAGATGATTACAACGTCGATGTGTATGTGCGAGGAATATATTTGCGATAATATGCTATCTTCTTGAGGAAATGGATTGTATTTTTTTTTTATCTCACTGTGTGTTTGTGTTGTCGATCCGCGCGATTCGTACTGATGTACCTTCTTTTTTTGCGCGTGACATAATCGGTAGGTAGCTTCGGGGTAGAAATCGTCGTGACGTAATTAAAGCGCCGCATGAGTTTATTATGAGATATCTCGAATCGCCCGTTTTTTTTTTTCTGTTCTAATTATATTTATGCAGTGAATATTTTTATCACGCACAATATAATCGGCAATGACATGTTGATGTATTTTTCTTGTTGCTTTGATTAAACTTCTCTCTCTTTGCGGTTAATTAATTTTTAACATAAAGTATAATTAATTAATTAACTTCTGTCTGAGATTTCAATTGATTTCTATTTCCAACGCTCTGCAGAACGCTAAGGAAAAACATTTTACGGAGAAAAATAACATTTCATGTATTTTATCATATTCGTGCTATAACATATCGGCTGTGATATGATAAAGTTTATTTTATTTTGAAAAGTTTTTCCACGCGGAAATTCTTCCGAAAAACAATGACAATTTATCAGTAATTATTCGGATTTGCCACAGCTGGTTTTCCGATGTTAACGCGGCCCTGTTTTATGCGCCTTTATTGATCGCATATTTATGTCGGTCCGCAAACGACCATCGTCGTCCGAAAACGACGTATCGACTTTTGCAAACTCATGCATGCGTTCCATATTACATTGACTCCGTATGAATTTAAATAACCGGCAGGTTATATAAGTGCATGAAAAGAATTTGCCGAAAAGAAAACTGGCGGGACGGTATGTATTTTACGTGCGAATTTTGATATACACTCGTTTATTCCGGAGCGTATTTTAAGCCATCTTCAGTCGGCGAGGAAATGCGAGGGATTTCCCCCGCTCACTACGCAGTTACTCTTATTATAAGCCTGTTTATTTGAATTACAAGTGTACCGCACGTGGCCATTTGCTCGCACATTCGTACGCAATAAGGACAAAATGTGCATGATATTAATAATGAAACAATCTATATATGTACGGCTGCAGATTAATAATAGATTCGCCCGGTAGTAGTTCGTTGATGTAAAGACGTTTTTCCCGTATTTCCTTCAATCTTTTTTTCCAACTAATTTCCTTAAAAGCACATATTTCCATATATAAATACGCTCTGGAAAATTTCGCAAGCGGTGATTTTGCTCGATTTACGGGTGGCTTCTCTATAATAAACAAGATGAGAGGTTACTGTATTACGAGTGTATGTGAAATCTTTCGACGAATTCGTGTTTACGTGGCGAAACTCAGTCTGACGAAATTGGATAGTCGACGCGAAATTGAGCGAAAACAGGCGAAGAGTACCAGCAGCTTGGAGAAACGTTTAAAAGTTTTATACGTATTACCGTGACGTTTTTTCATTTTACGAGTTTTATGCCGAGATCTGTTCTACTGTATTTTTTCTTATATTTTTTATCGTATCAGCGACGATAATAAATGCCAATTTAAAAATCTTGATAACAACAAATTGATATAATTTTATATCTTTTATTTATTTGATATATTTTTTGCAAATTGATATATTTATTGCAAAATTACATTGACTTGCTGTGATTGGAATATTTTTCAATAATTACCGATAGCTTTTTTTCATTTACATGATCATTCGTATTGAATGAATATGTACTCTATTTAGACAGTCATTTTATTTATCAATTTAATGATCTATCTTTTATATGTTAATGCATAGATTTTATTTATAAGTCTTTGATAACTTTGATTCGACTTTAATAAGCATATTTCAAGATTTCGCGGTAAATGTTCTTCTAGGCGCATATATTCTGATATCTATATCGGGAGATTGCTTATTCGTGATGATAATTATGCCATTGGTTCCGGTTTGTGATTTTATCGAGAAAAGAAAATAGTTATATAATCTTGTTTAATCTTGAGCTGCGGTCTTTTCGAACGAAGTTCTCTTTCGATCCTGGTACGTTTTAACAGCGGTTTGCCAGCTGCGGAATTTCCTGAAAGCGAGATGAAAAGGCTCTTTGTTCACTCGAACGGTCCGATTTTACGACGTTATCGCGGAAAAATGCTCGTTCATCAGTTGCATTGTATCACGATTCCACGGGAATGCAATAAGCGAATCGAAACGGAATACGATATCTCGTATCCGCGGAAGTGTTGAAATTTTATATCGACGATGGCGAATCTCTTGCGAATTATGCGATTGCATCTAACGCGCGCTTTATGAGCGGACGACGTAAAAATACTAAACGTTATAAAATAATATTTTACGAGTGAATGCAGTATCTATTTTCTGATTAGAGATGGAAACTTTGATAAATTAAATAAATTTTCTACCATGGATACGCGTCACGTTTATTTACTAAGATTTACGTAATGAGATGTCAATTTCCATACATTTCTCCGATACTTTCATCGATATTTTCACGAGACAAAGCACGTAGGTCGACATGTTTTATGGAATTAATGCGACAACAGTCACTTAAATCAAAAATGTGTCTCTTAATACGCTTGACTCAGCCTCGGTACGGTTAACCCCCTTGTATATACTGTTGATAAAACGAATTCGTTCCAATTAAGTGATTCAGCCAATCATGCATCACACGGGCTCGATGGAGTTACGAAAATGCCATTCATCCTCGCGCTTCTTTGTGTCTTCTGCACTGGACGAGATAATGAAACGTTGGCCGAGGATAACGAGACGGATAAGAAACGCGGCGTGTTCGATTAAGTTCAGCGTGACGCGCGCAATCGATATATTTATATGTGTGCACTGCAGTGTGTGCATTGTATTGTCTTGACAATGACATCGGTTATCTCGTCAAGAGCATTGAGGCAGTCTTGAACAAAACTCTCGATCGATGTAACATAATTTACAAAATTGGTTGACTGATTTTATGTAATATTCCATTATATTTGCAAGACAATTATTTTTAATTTGTTGAATATTTTATTTCTTTAAATATCTCAATTTTTTAATTATTTCACAGCATAATTAATTTTTCTTTTCTTATTATTTTTATATAGTAGCATTGCTTTGGTATCAAAATGAATGTTTTATTGTTCCAGCAGATAACACAGTGACTGCGGCAAATATTGTTATTCTGATTTATCTTATTATTTGAATTTGGATGTATATTTATTAAAATTGATTATACTCGAATGTAACGTCACGCGTGATTTATTATTATTATTATTATAGTGATGTTTGTTGATCTTTCAGCAAAGAGTGTTTTCTAAGCTGTTTTAGAACGTGCCTCGATATCTCGTGTTTACTTATTCATCACTTTATTGGATATGTTATGTTATTTAGTCAAGAAATATATTACAAAATGTGTTAAAAGGAAATTTTTTTTATATTTGTAATAAATATTTATCGAGATACTGCAGTTTTTCATATATAATTTATCATGAAGATATTCCGTTTTAAATTCGCTTTAATTGGTAGCGCCTCGTAGAGACTCAGATTGCATTAATGAGTTTATTAGATGCGAGTTGAAGGAACGCCGGCGTTACACGAGATCGGTCTTGTTCTTTGCGAGTCATTCACCTTTACAGTATTGATGACGATTCTTTTCAGAGAACGATAATGGCACGTACCTACGGCGATGCAACACTTCGGATCTCAAGGAGGCATCGTGCGGCAAGAATCAGAGATGCCACATGATGAACAACACCTCGGTATGCGAGTGCATACGAGAATATCATCTTGTTAATGACGAGTGCATTAAGACACCAACGGCGACTGCCGAGACTATTTCTACTACTACTACTATTACTACTCTTAAGCCAGAACACAGGTCCGAGTCAGGAGGTACGTGCACGTCAAAAAAAGACTGCGCATTGACGCAAATAAGTATTTTGAATTTTACTTAATGTGAATATTATTTTGGAATATTACTTTACAATAGAAGACACATAGACAATATTTGAGCTCATGTTCGCATTTATGAGCGTCTTAGCTCATGATTAGATAACATTATTGAGCTATTATTCATTCACTGATATGATAAGAAAAAGTCGATATGCAAACGTCTTAGTTAACGACTAGCAGCAACAGCAGTAGCAACACTATAACGACACAGCTGGCGACTAAAATCTCTCAATCAATTTGATCCAGGTAGCTCCGTAGCCGCTGGTCTGCTAATACCGACCTTCCTCATAGTGATCGGTGTTCTGCTGTACTTCGGCGCGAGACGGTACAAATGGCTGCAACGGTTTCGGCAGTATCGTCACAATCGTTACGGCAATGTCCTAGTCACGAGAGACGACGACGACGACGATGATCCGCCGATAGCGTAAGACGACGACAAATAAAATTTAAAAAAAAAGTAAAAAAATTTTTTTTTAATGCTAGCAAATGCACATGTCGCGCGTACAAAGCGCACTTGCTTGAAACTTGAGAGAGTTAAACAAATGCAATGCGACTCCTGTCTGCTGATAGTGCACATGCACAGTTACGGCCGGGCGACGCTTGTTTCGCTTGTTTAAGGATCATTACTGTGCGTGCAAATATCAGCAGAGAAGTATACGAAGTACGCGAGAGGCGAGTGGCGAGAGGCGAAATGAATTACGAGGCCAAATGTAAGAACGCACTCGCGCGAGTAGGTATGCCTTCCTAAACGGAAACGGTTTGTGAAATCTGTCCATCTTAGTCAAAATTGTATGTAATTCATATAATGATGGGTTATATGATTATTATTGTAATATGTATTATATTTTTCGACGAAACTTTGAACGCTGTATCTCATTCGTCGAGGACACAAAAGCGTTACTACTCGCGCTAGTGTCGAATCTATATTTATATGTGATCATAAAGAATATGGCATAATGGACTGCGTTAACGATAACTGTAAGCATTCACTGAGAGCATAATTTTTTACATTGATATTAATAAGCTGGTCAGTAAACTTTATGTAATATTAATATAGATGTGTAATAACGGGGTGATCGTTTCTTTTGTCTCACTTCATCTTCACTATAAGCAAAATTTAGACAAATTATATAAAGTGTTGTGTCGCTATTATTATCGATAGAATTCTACATCTATTCTTCTTTGTGATTTTTTTTTAGGAATATTGGAAGTAATGTGATTGATACGGACGGACTGAATATAAGTATTTAGAGAAACTTAAGTTTAAATATTCAACAATTTTGATTGATATTTTTATGATTTTTGGATAACACGATTTTTTTAATCAACTAGGACATACATGCGCGCGTTACACGCGCGCCTTTTTTTCTTTTCTTTCCTTTCTTTCCTTTCAACTTAAACTTGTCAAACAGCTGTTAAAATAAAGCTGTCAAAATACAAACTGTCAAACACAATCATCTTTATGACAACCGATCGATAATAAACAAAATCGCGAACTTGGCGATTGATAAATCGATCGATAACTGTTGCAACGAAAAAAGGCTTCAAAAGTAAATAACATGCTTCTTTTGTAAGATCGATCACATTACTGATATTGAAATTTATTTTTTTTTACACTAAATATTTTCTTTTCTCGAAGGTAATTTTTCTTTTTTGACGTTTACGAAACAAACCAAATCTTATCATTCAATGAATCTAAATTAGTACTTACTGCTTTTTTGCTCTATAGATAACGGAATATTCTAAATGCTATGATGAACGTGTAAATTTGACAGAGTTACCTTTTAAACCGCAAGAAATTTGGGAGCGATTGCATTTATACCAAAAGAATGTCGCGCACTTTTTAATCTCTTCGATGTCTCTGTAGCGTAATAAAGTTTGTAAATACTTTGCTATTCGTAAATGCGTATTCTTGCCAGCAACAATTTCTTCCTACAAAATAATCTAATCGTGCTTCAGAAAGAGGTCTCTATCTTATCTATACATGTATATAAGTGGGACTATCTTCGGCTCGTGGAAGATTAACAAAGAAAACTTTCGAGAGTTATATATATATATATATATATTGTATACGTACCCTATTCTTGTACTGTATCGTTTTTTGTACAGAACTATGCACTAGATATTGAACTATAGTGACTGTCCGGTGTATAGTAGCGATTTCGATCGATCAAGATCGTCGATCGAGATATTTGATATTTTTATAGTTCGCGAGTACAAATCTAAGAAGTGGTGAGTAGTACTGGCGAATTATTATTGTAGTAATTTTATAGCGACAATTTAATTTTTCAGCATTACGATCCAAAGTGTGGCTAGTACTGTCTGCTTATTTGTTGATGCATTTCAATGATTCGACTGAATATCTTAAATGTTACTACCGCTACGTTTATACAAAAGCTATGATAATGATTCATTGAATATCGCGGTTCTTCGCGCCAGGAATATATTCGAATATTTCTCTGCCTTTTTCGCCGAAAAAAAAAAAAAAAATTACAACCATCAATTCACAATTTGTGTATGCGTGGCTCCGTTAAGTTTTGAATCATGATTCTCTGTGATGTATTTTATATTATTGTTGATCGAAACACTGCATTTTTTCAGCACAATGAACGATCTGATTTCGACGTATTTTTCCGTGCAAGTGTTATATATCATTGCATTGACTGATGATGTTCGATATATTTTCATTGCTCTATATGTATATTCCGCAGGCTAACGCAGGCAGCGTAAGTAGCAGCGTTATTTAAGGTTCAGCAAAAAAAAATTGTCGCTTAAAACGAAACTGTTCGATTGTCTTTACGACCGTAGAATTTGGACTTGTAATGTGTTTGTAACATTTATCAATGTTTCGTATAGTGTCAGATATTCCGTTGTGTAATTTGCCATTTGTCCTACAATAATAAAGGTCTCCGAAATTTCTCCAACCGAATATTTCTAAAAATTCTTTTCATGTCTGTAAGTTCTTTTCATATAGCAGCTGTCGAGGGCTGGTGAAAAATGGACAATCGATAACAGCGATAAGTATATTTCCTCACTCTTTTATATCGTAAATATCGACATAGCTTTAAGACAAGATATACGCTCAGGAAGACTTATCCGCTAACAATATCTATCGAGATAAAACTTAATGTATACAGCTTTTTTTTTAGAGAACCACGTTTATCGTATTTTTAATTGTAATTTAACTTGGATGAATGTGAACAGGATAGAATCGTACGTTTATTTATTTACAAGTTTCGATTGAAATTAGGAAAGAGAAGGATACGTTTTTTCAACACCTCTGGTACGCTAGTGAAGACTCCGATTCCGGCCAACACGAATGATCTCGTGTATTAAATCGTTAGACTGTATATCACGTTTCAAGTTTAGTTACTGTATCACGTTGCTAATTCAGAGGAAACATCGAGCTTATCATATGACGCACGCTACGTTTGTCGTATGCTGCATCAATTGTAATCGGATCTAGCAATCATTCAGAATTTCCCTCGCGAAGATCTCGGAACGAATTATCTACCATCGCTGCAAAACTGTTGAATGTTAATTCTATTTTTTTTTTCTTTTCTTTGTTGTGTATGTGAGTAGCGATGAGAGTACTGATGAGTATCAGGATGACTAATATCTCATTGTTATACATCTCACTATGTTTTCCTTTCTAGAAGCATGGCGTGGCGCCATTCGCTGTGCGATTTTTTTTTTACAAAGAGAGATCTCGTCTCTTTTGCATGCCAATTTTTAATACAATAATTTAATAACTCTTCGAAACTTAGCAGATACCTAGCTGAATCGTTCACAGATTATCGCCTGCCCGCGGAGCGGCGCGACGGCGTCGCGCGTTCTTCGGAACGAAGGACACTAATCAATCGGATTGCAACAGGGCTAAGTGTCGAGAGGCGCGATGTCCGTTCGCGGAAAGCCAGTTTCATAAAAGAAAGAAGCGCGCGGAGATGCGTTTCTCCCACGAAAGTGTCTTTCCTAAGTACAAGTCGATCGGTGGTGGTATAAATTACAAAAGTCGTTTACGCTCTCGCGCGGCCAAGATGTGCGGGCCGGTCGTGAAACGCTCCCTCGTAAACGGTGTACCGTTTCGCTGTCACGTCCGCGTCAGTACGCGGTGTAATCTTGCCACGGTCTGTGCTGTCTGTACTGCGCCCCGCTGACCTGTACGGCCTCCGGCGTTCTGTAATACAGCATCCGGCCGCGATCGTGATTGCCGATGCTCGCCGGCAGGAACGGCGGATTCGGGACGAACGATTTCTGCGGCGGCTGTTGATGCTGTTGATTCACCGGTCGAGAGAGTTTGTAATTGTTCTCGGAGGGCTGCAGCGTGGCGTCCCTGCCCGTTAATTGTCTGTGCAGCGGCAGGACGAATCCGCTCGGCAGATTTGCCTCTTGAATCAAAGTTGGCGTGAGGGCGTCGTTCAAAGTGACGTCGTACTCGCTTTCGGGGATATCCTGCAGGCGATGCGTCACTTCGTTGATCCTCTGCTTGGCGCGATAGCTGCTGCCCGGACCGCTGGGCAGATCCTGGATATCCTCGTTCTTGTACGTCGAGCTGTAGACGTTCGGCGAGGTGGTCTCGGTGGGCACCCTGACTTTACTGCGCATCGGCGAGCCCGAGGATGTCGGCACGTTCGCGTACTTGTCGCTCGAGTAATCCTCTATCCATTTGGACGTCGAACTGTCGGTCTGATGATTGCGCGGATCGTACGATTGGTCCTGGATGGCGTAGCCTTTGGACGAATTCGACAGATCCTCCGGGCCCTTCGAGACCTCCTCGTCGTTATTCTTCTCCATCGGTCTTCGTAACGCGGGCCTGGATATCACGCTGTCGTACTCGTCTTGCCGTTGCTTTTTCTGAAGATCGCTCTGAACGGTCTTGTAAGCATCGTACGTTTGCTTGGTGTCCGGCTTCAAGTACGACTCCTCATGATCGACGTTTCCGTCTTGCTCCTCCTGCGCGTAGTAAATCTTGTGCTCGTTCTCGTTCAAGGCGGATCGGTGATCCGTCGGCGCCTCTTCATCTCTTCTCGGCGGCGCTTGCGGCGCTTTCGAGCCGACCAGTGATAATCCTCTCGGATTTGGATTGCCGCCTCGGGACGGCAGGAAGGGTCTCTTAACGATTCGAACGGTAGTCCGAGGTAGTGGAGGTGGAGACGGCGGATCTTCCAGCGGCTCGTCGTAATACTCCGACGAGTACTCATCCGAGTACACGACCTGAGGACTTTGTTCATTCCTGCCGTCTTCTTTGTCTTGGTAATCTGTTTGCTGAGTCGGTTTCTGAGACTTTTCAGACAAGTTTCTGTAATAATCTTGAGCGTCGCTCGCTACACGACCGCCTTGAGCCTGGACAGCTGGTCTCGCTGGTCGTTCCGGATAGGACGGCTTCTCTGATCGATCGGTCACCGCGTCCTTCGAGTCCACTTCGGATTTGGGAATAAGCTGTTCCGGTAAGCAAGTCGTTGTAGTAGTCGTGGCGGAGGTTGTGGTAGTGGTTGCTTTTTCGGTCGTTCGATCGTAAGTGCTCGGTCTTCTGGTTGTTTCAGCGGTGTCCGATAGATCCTTCGATCTCGAGGACGATCGCGGCCGCTCACCATCCCTTTCGCGATCGAGAACCCGCGGCGAATACGGTCGCTCCTGTCTGTCGGAGTCCGGCGATCTTCCCCGCGAATCGCGATCCGATGGTCTCTCGGCAACAGCGCGGTCCTTGCCGCGATCGAGAGCTCGATCTCTATTTCGGTCTCTGTCTCGATCGTAGTAGCGGTCTCTCGAGCGATCCTGATGCGTCCTGAGTCGTATCTCTTCCGGCGGCGAGTGATAGCGAGTTCTAAAGTCATATTTCATTGTTATTCTTAATTAATTAATTTAATGTTTGATGTGGTGTTTGATGGTCGCGTCATGTTTCTTTGCACACTGAGTTTCTCTGAATTCTCGTTTATTACAGACCGTTTATCTTTATTCTATTCACATTAAGATACTATGCGACAAATTAAATTTTAATTAATTAAATATGTTTTATGACGCTGTAATTAATGTTGTAATGTTACGAAGATATGATAATATGACTTTTATTACAAGAATGCGAAATGTGTGATTATGTTTTCAGATTGCAGTCGGAAAAAAATATGACCCATTGCGATGTAATCAATGACAATTATTATTTTTTTAATCTGACACTCTTTATACAGATATGATTTTGTTTAGTAATTTAGTTGGCCGAATATAATTGCATCGGTGTTGTGTACGTTACCTTACCTGAGGGGACGATCCCGGTCCCGAGTTTCGTAGAAATCTCTATCCCTGTCCCTCTCTCTGTCCCTATACGAGGGCCTCCTTCGCAACGGTCTCCTGATCGGTCTGACATCTTCCAGCTCGTCATCGTAGTAATCGTCCTCTATCAAGTCTGCCGGTCGCCGCCGCGGCTCCTCTTTAATCACAATTTTATCTTTGAAACAACCTCTTAATAATTTTCTATCCACGACGTTGTCACAATCGATCTTACCTGTCGGCTGCGCGGGGGTGGTTTTGTACGCGTATCTATCTTGCTCCGAGAGCGGCACCGGTCTTCTGATCTTAGGCGGCGTCCTTGGCCTCGCGTAAACTGAACTGCTAGGCGCGGCCGGCTTCACCAGGCCTTCCGCGTTTGACGTTGCGCTCGCCGAAGGCGCTGCGGCTTCCTTATCCTCGTAATCGTCTCGATATCTGGCGTGAACAGAACGCGATATTGAATTTTTGTTATACAAAACTGATGAAAATATTGAATTGCGTTATTCGCAAAAGATAAAAATTTGTCACATTTCGAATGATCGACCTCGTCAACAATTTCTCACCTCTTATCGGGATATCGCCGTTCGTCGGTCTCTCTGTTTCTCGACTCCGTTCGCCTGTCGTACACGTCCGAATCGTCCGCCTCCCTCGACGTCGATCTGACACCCGGATCCGGGTTTCTCCCACGTGGCCTCGAATCATCCTCCAGCTGGTCCCTCGACCTGGGTGGCTCTCGCCGATTGCCTCTGCTTGGATATCTATCCCTGGCGGCGTCTCGATCCCTATCGTCTCTGCCGGATCCATCCCTGCCGCGCGGCGGGTCTCGGTCCCGGAAGTCACGCTCGCGGTCCCGATCCCGGAACTCGCGATCCCTATCCCGTCTGTACTTCCTGTCGTCGTACTCGTAGTCGTCCCGATCGGCGAAGTCCCGCGGACGACCGTACTCGTCGTCGTAATAATCCTCCTCGTAGTAATCGTAGGGCCGCCTCCTCGCCGGCGGTCTCCTCCTGGGCGGAATCCTGTCGCGCGCGGCCGATCGACTGGTCGGCGCCGTGACCGGCGCCACGGTGGTCGTGGTGGTCGTCGTAGTCGTGGCCGCTTGATAAAGGGCGTCGTTCCTGTGCCAGTATTTCTTGGAGTTCGCGCAGTCGACCTCGGACACAAAGTGGCAGATAAAGGTCTTCTGGTCGAACGCCGTGAAATTGGCGCACAGGAAGTCGTAGCGGGTGCCGAAGAGACAGTGATGGTAGACCTTGAGAAAGAGACGCAGCGATGAAAGAGCCAGCCGCGCTAAGACACGCACACTGCTGTCGGTGAAATTCTAACGATCGCCGTCGTTTTAACTGCCGCGACGGCGTTCATTAAAAATGTAAAATGAATCTCGTGTTTTGAAACGGCTGTTTACGAAATCGATCGAGATGGGTGAAAGCGAGCGACGAATCGGCGCCATGCGCGCGTATCAAACTTTCAAGATTTTTGAAGGTGATTTGGCTGTTTCTTTTTTTTTTTTTTTTAATCCACGTCGCGCGCTGTATCTCGCGCGGGATTCGGCCGTCTTCTCGATACCTAACGAAACGCGTCATGACGATCTTAGCACACTTTTCACCGCGAACGAACGCGAGCGATCTTGCCGCACGCCACCGCGTAGCTTTCACACGGCTGCTGCGTGTGTGCGAGCGCGAATAATTGCACCGGCTCGCATAAATGTGCATTCTGCGGTGCCTCACGTACAAGGGGGACTCGCGTCTGTGTGATACGGGTACGCCGTATTATCTGGAACGTACAAATGCCGGTGAATTATCCAGGGGGGAATTATCTGGAATCATTCAGAGCACATCCTTTCGGTAAGCGTTCGGCGCGGTTTCGCCGAGAACAGACGCGCGTGGAAAGAAGTTGGTCTCTTCCAATAATAGATCATGAATCTTACTCAACTCGCCAGGTAAATGTCAGACGATCATCGAATGCCTAATCGCGCGTCTAATGAGCTTCACGTATACGGCGCGGAGTAATTTCGACGTAGTCGGAGTCGTAGCTTGCTTTACTAAAAATACATCCTCGTCCCGATTTTTCTCTCAGTCGCCCACGCGATTCAATATCGAATTTATTCGATCATACGACGAAACTTTTCGGCGAAGTTTATTTTCAGGTATTCTCGTAATCGAACTATTCCTTTTAGAAATTCCGGTCTCCGATGGTTCCGCGAAAAATTTACGGTGGAAAGTCGGCGAAGCGGAAACTTCCTTTATGCCAAACGCAGAAAATAAATCACGGCTGTTTGCATGAGAACTGGCACTCGAATTATTCAAAAGGCGTCTCTCTTTTCTTGACGAGTGTCAGTACGATCCTTTCGATTCTTAGTGTCGACGTTTCGTTACCAGCTCCGCGTTATCGCTTCTCGTAAATGTTTCTACCCGCGCTACATCGATCACGCGCGAGAGTATTAATCACGACTGGGGGGGACCACATTACAATTGTAAATTCGCCCGAGGCTGCGAGAAAGATTAGAAAATAATCCGCGTGATAGCGAGCGATTTCCTGGCAGGAAGCCGGGCGGCGAATTAATTGCTCATTTCCCAATTTCTCTTCCGCGACAAACTCTTTTGCGAATCGCGAGGTGACGTAAATCGTCCTTTCGACGATTTCCTTTTCACAAGCGTGTAAAGCACGCCGAGGGCCGACGAACCCGGTGTCGTATTTGCATGACAATGGTCCATTCGTTCTGCGGCCCCGTGAAAATGATCGATAAGAGATCCGAGCTGCGCCGAGCGTCGGAAAGAGGCTTCTTTGCAATCGCTTTCACAATCCTAGGATTCGAGCGCACGTGAATCGCGGAACGGTCAGGGACGGGAAGCGTAGCGGACCACGAAAGTCCGTTCCTCTCCCCGCTCGGCTTCTTTCCACGGTGACCTTGTTATCGCGGCCGGCAGAAGGTTTTTCACTTTCAATATCGATTTCTACTCGGGCTTCGCCGCTCTTCTACAACCGAGACGACAATGGAAGATGAACGGCCCACCTATCGTTTAACAATCCTTGAGCACACAGTCTTCGTTCATGGGTTCCATTACGCAAATTGCTATCACGATTCGTACAAATTATGGTTGTCCCCCGATACGCAATCTTGTGTGTGCACGACGTATTATATGTAATGTGAATTCTCATTCGACTAATCGCGCAACTGTCAATTATTTGATCATCAGCGAGGTAGTCTTCATCGTCGACATACGCGAATGTATCATTGTAGAAATTGGCGTCGCGCTAAGCGCCAATGTTGATCTTTCTCGATTGTGTATAATAAATATTACGCTAGACCTCGCGCTGCTGCTCGTACATCGTAGATGCGGTAATTGCCGCTTGCATGTGCACGGTAATTACATCAGAACGCTAATTTGAATTCATCGAACATTCGATTCGAATAAATTTACGCGGATGATTTCTCAATCGTTTTCACAGGCGGCGAACCCCGCGGCGCCGAGGGGGGACTCGCGGTGAAACGATCGCTCTCAGCGATGATTGGTAAAAGTGTGCTCGATCGATACGCATTTTTTGCATTCGCATCTCGGCCGAGGACTCGCTTTCGTTCGCGGCTACCCGGCGTGTCGGTGTCAACGCTTAGCGATCGGCAATACTTGGCGGATACCGTCGACCGATCACGCCGTTAGAATCAAATTGCGACGCTTGTCTTTCGACGTTAGAAGGGTCGGTGGAATCAAGGCAACGGATCATTGACTTCTCGGATCGTTGACATCTGTTTATTATACGAAAGAGAGGATCTTTCTGCGGAGTTCATTCAGCCGACGCCGATCCCTCTCACCTCATCGGCAGCGTTCACTCTTTTTTTTGACAAAGAAATAATTCTAGCTTATCGCGCGCTTTAATTGCAGGCATTGCAACGCTCGCGTTTTTAATAAACGGATTTCAATCAGCGTTGTCGTTTGGCGTAATGAGCATCTTTCGGCTTAGAATTCCCGCGTTTGCGCGCGTTATAATTGTGCACCTTTTACTTTTCTCCTCGAAGACACATGCATTTTCCTCTGATTAGATGGAGTATTTCTACAATTATAATCATTAAATTCAAGTTACCTGACATTTGTGCGGCACGCTGGCGTAGAAACCGTCGTGCAAGCCGTCGCACTTGAAGTCAATATCCTCGGGTATGCTGTTGTAGAATGGATAATCGCTGAGATTGTAGCCGTTCAATTCGCGCGGTAGATTCGGATCCCATATGTAATCAATCTGCGGAATTCCCGTTAAAGTGTGCCCGGTCGTTCCGTTCGTTTCGATCCCGACTGTCGTCGTCTGGAAACAAATATTACGCTCTTCTTGAGATTTCGACATCATTTCGCAATCTCATAATTGAAAGTCTTACAAAAGGCTCTGAAATGAAGGATTCAAGCGAGCTTAAAAATTCTTTCCAACATACGTCCACGCCACGTCTCGTGAAATAGCTTTCATTTCCTGCGGAAAGCGCGAGTACATCGATTCAATGTCGATTTTCCCGTAATAATAATTTCCGTGCGGAAAAGCGCGTTCGATATCTGATAGCGAAGTTATTTTACGCTTGAAGAAGCCGCACAATAATGCTTAACGATGACCATCCGAGTTCGATTTGATGATGTCACATCGCCGCGCGTTTCTATATGCGAAGGTGAACCTGTCGCATATAAACATTTAGTTTAACGCTAATTGATTTGCTGCCGGCGTAGATTAACCGAGGCGCCCCCGCAATTGCGGAGACACGGGTTAGTTCATGCATCAAACTGAATTTGCATAACACAGAAGTTTGTATGGCGCCGTCTTTGTTACGCGATACTACGCGACGTTTATCGTGTTGTCACGGTTGTCAAAGCCACGCTAGCTTACTTCCACGGCGCTTTATTGCCGGTTATTTATGCCTGTTGCATTCGTAGCGTATCGCAAGGTACTCCTTTTATTCGCGAAGAGGCAACTCGGCGAAATAAGAACTCGTTTAGTACACGTGCAGCGATCGTCGTGACTGTTGGAATCGATTTTGCAACGATCGAGGATAAATGATCGCACTCCGTCCGCAGCGTGGCACGTGAATAACATGATCGGTACATCGCGCTTTCTCAAACGGCGACCGGCATAATTTCGTTCCGATGGCGCAAAATAATAGAATAGAAATGCACGATTTGCATGAGATACATTTTTTAGTATATCTATAATATCGAGAATTTAATTTACTGGAATTATGCTAATTTCAATCACCAATTTAAAATTATATACGTCATCTTGGCATTGGATGCAATAATAAATTGGGGAATATAAAATTGGAATTAATTATTTGGTCGTCAAGGTTTATTAAGCAATATTTGAAATTTAATAATTATAATTATAAAAATCGAGAATTAATCCTTTTGTAATTTTTCTAAAGTATGTCGATTCCTTTTAGATACAATACCTCTGAACCTGCATTCTCATTTTCCTCCACTTGAGGCTCCTCGGTAGTCGTCGTCGTTGTCGTGGACGTTGCAATCTTAAATTTCGGCCTAGTCTTGAGCGCTGCGGAGACCGCGTGGACCAATAGTATTCCTGAAACGTGTAAAAATAGCGATTTTGTTACAGAGAGCGTGACAAAACATCGGATTTAAAGACCGTTCGAGCTGGATTGACATCGCGATGCTTCCCACGTTTGCAAGAGTAATCATGCGTGTGCAAATATAGTTCTGTCTAATCGCCCGAGGAGCATCGATGGCCCCGATGAGTTGTTTGATACATTAAGGAGAAAGGTCACTACGCATCCGCGGATTACGTAAATCGCGGAGAAGCGTCGGCGTTGCAAAACTTGGACGAGAAGTGTGGTGAGAACATAAGTGTTGCAATTTTCTCTCACCGAGTGAGTGCATTCGGGTTGGGTAATTGTTTTTAAACAGATCAAGGCTGTCTATTGATCGTTTCCTTTCCATGTTTCCTTGATTTACAATCCATATTTACCGCATAAGTAATAGCGGTGGTTTGTAATCTATTGTGATGAATTGTTCTCATGAACTTTATCTTTAACTCTTAATTTCTTTTCGTTTCTTCAATTACTCACTTTATACATTCTCTTTTTTCACATTTTAATTCTATCTTTAATCTATTTTCATTCATGTCTTTTTACTTTGAATATTTCACTTTTTTTTTACGTTTATATTTAGATACCTAAAATGGATAAGAGAAACGGAGCGCTGTCTTCAGCTATTATTAATGACTCTGTAAACCTTGCTACTGAATCGCATTTGTGACTGTTTTGAAGTAGTTCAAGGCTGTTTTGAGAGCTAACAGCTGAGAAAATGGAGACGCGAGGAACGAACAGTTGACGAGCGAAGCACGGATTAAAGTAAGAATTGTTTCTCGCTTTCTCGGATGTGCTCCGAGGTCGCGCATCCTTGTAGCAGTGAATAATCAATAATTTATATACGAATCTATTGGATTAACGTATCAGTGCGATTTCTCCGGCAGAGAAAAGTGATAATTAATGGATTTTTATCGGCAGTGTTTGCTTTACTCGATAAAACTTAGAAAGTATTTGCCGATCAAATGATTTTTATAGATAAATTTTTTTACATTCTTTTGCAGTCTTTGTGAAAACTTTGTTTCAAGTTTCTCGCTCCGGTTATGCGATTGCCGAACGTGGTGCGCATAAATGCGGAAAAACGTGTTTGCGCCTCCGCACTCCGCGGCGATTAGGCGATTAGAGCTGCGCGCGGCACGAACGTGGTTTCGCGAACCGGAAAGTGGATGTCCTCGAAGGTGATGTTGAAAATGTATAAGGTGCAGGCCCGGCAGGATCGTATAACGGAATCGTGCTTTTTCAGCCCGCGATCGATAACAAGCCGCGCCGCGTCGACACAGCACGCCAGTGTTGCATAAAAATGAGTTATGGGAACTCGCTCGCATTCCGTTTGTGGGAAATGTTAACGTGGGCGTGCCCCTCCCCTCTGTGTCGGGATAAATCGGTTATCGTGACGAAACTATCGTCGTCGTTACTACTGTCGTGTCGGTGGTGAAAACAAATTGCTTTATCCGATTGTCTGCCGGCGACGTGGGGTCTCGATCGAATGGGAATGATCTGACATTTCCTTCTCTCTCGCAGGGTGTGACCGGCACCTTCCCTTGCCTTGACGATGATCCTTATTAAACAATTACGACGCCACGAAATGCATATTACATGTGCACATTATTACACGCGGCGTTTGCGGCTAACGCGTAACGATAATCGGACGTTGGTTACCTTCGGCGCGCCATAAAATGAATATAATGTTCCTAATTATCGTAAAAGTTTTACGATACCGGCGGCGAGAACGCCGATCTCTATTATTTCCTTCGGCTTTTGAGCAAGGTTTTTAAAGACCTCGATTCGAATGTTGCCGACCAGCGAAAATGTCAGAAAACATTCTAAATGCTAACGCGGTGTCACGTGGCCGGAGCTTAAACCGTTCGAGTGAATACGAGGAACAGGTCGACGGCGGTTCAAATTTACAGTATGCACTTGTATCGCGCTGTAAACAGCCGGCGACAGTCTTTCCCAGCACACACATCAGCTTCCAACGGAATTCCATTTTTATCAGATCCGGGCTTTTTGCAGTTTGTTTTTTGCTTTCGCAAATAAAACGGCGTGACGTTAATGCGCGTGTTTGCCAAGTATTTTATCCGGACTTTTCGGGCTCTTAAGATTGCTCGTCACATGCCCCCGCGACGAGACAAAGAAAACGGTCTTCTTGGCATTCACGACAGGTCCCCCTTTCTTCGTGGAACTTTTCTGTAAAACGCTTTTGCGAATGACACTCAATCATGATCGCAGCATGAATATCAAATGTGTTTGCCGTAAGATAAAACAGTGATCTCTTGTTCTCCACAGTTGACGGCTTGGCTGAAACGATCATTTTGCGCTGAATACTTCTTAATGATTCTTAGAAACGCGTTTTTTTATGATCTTTTAATCAACACACTAATGAAATCAACAAATTAAGAGAGAAAATTTCACCTCTCTAGTTTTTAAATTGATTGCTTCTCTTTTATATATATACATCAAATGGCAAGATATACTTTCAGCTGTCATTTCTCGTCACTTTTCATGTCAACACATTTAATTCTTCATTGTTCGTTTAATTTATTCATTGTGGAAGGCCGTTATTTTGTATTATGCGAGGCGTCGCGACGAGAATTGATCTACGTGCGCGAGATGTAAAACTTTCTGATGGAAGGTCGTCCACTGTCTCCTCGGCATTCCTCCGCGGTCGTGGAAAGTCCAAAAATACTAAGGACGCAACGCAACGGGGAATCGGCGGGTAGTGCAACGGGAAGATCCTCTCTGCGGTGGCGGTAAACAGGATTTCAAGAAATAGTAGAAATCGAGTAAAAATAAGATTCTCCGCTGAGAAGCTCCGGTTTCGCGAGAAACGAAGAATCATCCTCCAGAAACTGTATGCTTACCGTACAGAGCCAGTAGCAGCAGCCATCGTTTCTCCCGCATGTTGGCACTGTAACATAGATTAATGGCTTGTGTCAGTCAACTGAGTAAACATATTTGCCTTCCAATTTTTTAATTAAAAGGTTTGAGTGAAGTATTCAATTGTTTGACGTGTTACAAAAAATGTATCGTGCAAATTATTAAAATTCCAATTAGATATTTTATTATAATAATTAATCGCATTTAATAAAGAAATTGAATTTAAAATCTTGAACTTCTCTTGCTCTCTAGCGAATGATGCTTTTAGAAACATCACTTTTGTCATCAGTTTTTTTTTTCTACGCAAAATATCACAAGCGCGAAGAGATTTCTGATTGCGAAAGGCAAATCAAATATCTTGAAGTGTCGAACGCTAATCGCACAGCACTGTGCATCGGCAAGCATAATCAAAGCGGAGGTAGCTTAGCATCGCGCGTAGATTGCAGCGGTGCTCGGGCATATGGGAACGGATAGGAACTTTCTCTGTGCTGTCACCACTGCTAACCATATAATGCAAGGATAATGCGGGTGTTATATAAATGCGCGATCACGTAATATCGGGTGTGACTTTGTAGTAACGGTTGCGAATGTCTAATTATTAGAGTGTCTTGACGCTCCCGATGTGCGCACACGCACTGTCTGCTTAGGAAACACACGCGGCGTCTTTCGGAAGAGATTCAGAGGAGATGATTCAATATCTCGTGTGCCAGACAATCACGCGCGAGCTGCAGTTATTATACGCTCGAGATAATAGTATCGAGTGTGCATCCTTTCTCCGGACCTTGAATCTTTGTTGTCTCAGACTATATACGATAGTTATTCTATATGTTACGATTTACCTAATTTATTAAGATTGAGCTAAATATTATTGTAAATTGTTCCCTCTGCAGATGGAACGAGTGACCTTGATTTTTCCAATTGCGTCGTAATGGCATTGCATTTTTCAGATTCTCTTATCTTTCTTGTTCGAGTGAAAGTAATCTTACAGGTTTCCAATATCAAAATAGATTACTTATCTTGTACCTGACGCAGTCATACCTATATTATGAATATATTATACATAATTGCTGCTCGTACATTTTGCATCCAGTTATTAAAAAAAATTTAATTGCAAAATGTAATAAATTTCATACTTTCTTTATTTTGAATATTTGAAATATAAAAATGTTATTATGAATATAAGGTTATAAAGCTATAATATATGTGTGCGTGTGTATAATCTTTGGCTAATATAAATTAATTTATGGCGACGAAAGATACGCAATTTCAATTCCGGCCTATCGTTTTTAATTACAGAAAGGCAGCGCGTGAATTTCGAATGTATACACTGTTTTCCGCACAAAAATGTGGAGCGCTCGAGCCAATAGCGCTGCGCTGCGTGCGTGCTCGCATTAATTAAACGCGTTATCGCGCTCCAGTTCCCAGGCAGATCCTTATCATTTCTGTAAAAGTAGGAAAGAAAGAGAGAGGATGCCACCCGCCGGCTGTAGCCGCACAAGACTGCATTATTCGGTTACACAAGTTTTCGTAATTGCTTCTTTTGTTCGTGTCACAACGCGATCGCGTTCTCAGGCGGCATGGGAAGTCCTCTCTAGATTACAGATTTGTCTGTCCGGAAGCTGCGTGAATTAGACCCGCACTGGATTTAATGAAATTTATGAGTTTATTCGACACGCGGACAGGTTTTGCTCACTGCACAATATATTATTTCTTGTGTTTTGTAACAAGTTGGTCTAATTTATTACTTATTTTTCCATTAGCGTTCACTATTTATTTTTTGCTACATATATCGTATATTTTTACAAGTTAATTACAGATTTGCATAATGTCTGTGCGTGAACAGACTTCTGAGAAGATTGTTATATTGTTAGATAATTTTATTAATTATGCGTTATGTGACGCGACTATGAGATTGTGATCTAAACACAATCTATTATGACTATTATTGCTCATTGAAGGATTTCGCTGTCAAAGGTATCTTCTTTAACGAGCTTTGCGCGGGATGTGTCACTCGTAACGTTACCTTACGGTAAATTACGTTATGTTACGACATACACAGGTAACGGTCATCTACGTTCGCTAAAGGTCACCGGAAGTGATGGCTGGTATGACCAGTTATCTGATTGATCTAACTTCTTAAATTGGACTTCATGACTAGAGTAAAAAATATACTTTCAAGATTTCCTTTAAATTCTTAAATTTTCTTAAAATCTTTATTTCTTTTTCAAATAAATTATTGAACAAATAAAATTGTTTAAGAATTGTTTTTTCTTAAAATTTGAAAATTAAGAAAATTCCTCTAGCCAGTATGTTAATTTTACAAATAGCCATACAGGAGCGAATATTCTTTTTCAATTGAAATATTTATAAAGAATATCTTACAAAATTTAAAATTTTTAAATTTTCAATTTAACTTGACTTATTAATATTTTTTGTAATAATTTTTGGTGTTTATATACACAACTTTTCGACTAACAAACATAATTTTACGGATGGGCATGACTAAGGTGTGGTTGCAAAACCTGATAGCCTTCAAAAGCACAGTATGTCGAACCAGCAGGCTTTCATTTCTTCGTGACTGTGCTGTTTGAATACCTGCTCCGAATTGTATTATCGAATTAATTGGCAGAGCAAAACTAGATATCGATATTTATTGCAACGCAATGCGACGAGAGAAAATATTAACTAAAAAATATAATTACATATTGAGAATTTGTAGAATTTCAGCATAGAAATTTATCTCATCAAATTGCAGAAATTTTAACGACAATAAAATTAAATTACGCGACCTTCTAAAATGTTAGCTGTATTTTAAGCAAGAATCGCGCAATTAATCATAAATAATTAGTACTATTTAAGACGGAAATTTGCGCAAACAGTTGGTGATTAATGTTTTGAATGGAAATGTCATAAAAGATAAAAGTATATTTTATGAATGCATTTAAAAAGATTTTTGCTGCAGTATCTGCAATAAAAAAGTACGTAACTGATATGATTTATATGGTACTAAAACAACAAGTTTCTAAAGAATCATGGTATGAATTTTTTTGTAGCGCGTTTTCCTATTTTCTAGAGCAGTGAATTAAGACAGAATAAGTCAGACACGCACTGCGCATTACGGCGCGCCGTTTTTACTTGCGACTCCATTAAAATCCATTAAAAGTAAATACAATCCGTCGCGCAATCCATCAGATTCGTCACAAGTATAACGCTCTTCGCCGTTCTAATCACTTTATCCGCACGAAAGGTATTTGTTACATTAGCCGTAAGCATCGCTCGCCTTGTAGGTAGAAAGTGCGCGATTGTGCAAGGCAAACATATGCAGAGCAAATGTTAATAATCGTAACGGGAGCTGCTGGTCGCGCGTATGCGTAAGAAGTATCCTTCGTAAATTATGTAGATTATTATCAGTAGTCGCGGAGAGTATGAAAACGTTGAACTTGCTTGGATGAACGCCAGGGCCGCAGCGCAAGATTTTCGGAGCGAAACAGAATTCTGCGCAGCTGAGTCGAGAATGAAATAAACATTCGTCGGCAGCGTCGGTTTTGTCTCTCTCTCTCTCTCTTCGCGAATATATATTTATGAGTGACTGTCCAAATATCATGTTTTAAATATAGGAAGACGCGTGCAAAATACAGTCTACTCGTCTTTCTCGAGAGTATTAAAGAAGTAAGTAGAGTGTAAAATGAAACCTACAATGTTACGGTCAAAAACGAGTTAAAAATATGCTATAATATATCAATATTAATATTTGTAAGTCCATAATATTCATGTGAATAAGACGTGAATAAAATATTAATAAAATTGCTGATCAAAATTGAATCAGAAAAATCAAAAATAATGTAAAAATGTTTTGATACAATGATGATAAATGTTTTTTTCCTCTCGACATAAGCTGGCGTGAAGTTATCCATCCTAAGTAGATAATTTTTCCTTTTAATCTCGTTGCATTTACAAGAGAATTTCTTAAAGCGCTACAATTTTATCTTTATCTCGCCAATATACGTTGCGTTTTCATGTTCCGAGCTTCCGTTCTGGCGCCAGAACGATTTCTCCTATTAGAATTTAGAAATTCTTCCATAATAATCCATTTATGAGCTTTCTGCGAGGGTGGTATTTCGTTTATATTACTCGCTCCAAGTGGCTTATTACTAATTAAACGCGAAGGAAATACATATTGAATTTCTTTCTCGCGGAGAGAAGAATAAATTTAATAAGCAAACACGCGTCAAAAGAACTGTCGATTGTAGTATTTGACAATTAATTTGTAATACTTGTTCTTATAGAGTGCGCTCGAATGCGTACGAAATTAACCTGAGTCGTTTTTTACGGATAAAACAACTATACAAAATCTTGTCTTAAAAAATCGATACATGAACTTTTATTGCGAATTATTATTGGCCAACAAGCAGAATTTATTCGAGTCAATTGGAAAATATTTTAACCGTTCTTGCCGATTCTCGAGACGAGAGAACCGGCTTCGGCATAAATAATTTCACTCTCGGTTGCAAATAAAATTTATTCAACCGTAAAGCATCGTTCGCGTCGTTTTGTCGATTTATTGTGTAAGATCTATATGATAAATGTAAAAAGTCAGCAGCGTAAGCAGTTTATCGAAAAAAAAAATTAATATTGCGGCTGGGCAAAATTTGCGAAATAAAAGTTACATGCTTGATGCCCCTTCTCGATTCCGTGAATCGACTATTAATATCGAAAGTAATTAATATAATTTTGCACGCTTTGTTATTAGGTGTTTTACGTAAGCGCGAGGCGCGCTAGGAACGCGCGATAGATGCCGTTTTGATATCCGGCGAAACTATTCGAAAGTTATTATTTAAGAGCGGGCGGAGAATGAAAAATTGGACGAATCCGCCTCCTACGAATTTCTCCCTTAAGAAGAGGCCTGTGCACCGTGTGTAATTAGCGCGATTAATGTGTCGTGAAGCCGGCGTGCGCCAGCATCGTCTTTCTACTCTTCCTACTCCGTGCGAACGATTGTTCGTTAGAGAGGAGAGCACAATGAGACCGATGCGGGTCCATATAAGAGATATTTTATGGTACAACGCTTCCTATCGCACAGTAAATTTCACCGTATAAGTTATGCGGTGCAGTTTATTGCTCCCTGCATAGCTACTAAACAGTCACTCACGTAACTCAATATTGGTAGTAAGTAATGAAATTGATATACTTAAATGCCGCGAAGATTGTGGCGAGATTTCTCTGCTCTTATTTTGATAATAATAATTATAAATTATTCCATTACTTTTATGCCGATGACGAAACTTCGGTTGCAAAATAAATAGGTATTTATCGAAAGTAGACTCTCGCAACGTCGTCGCACGTCGTGCAAAAGAGGTGTGACATACTTTTTATCCGTTGGCGCATTCGGCGGCTGGTCTGATTATCTTCCTATGAAAGTGCTGATGCTCAAATTTCGTTTTCGCTCCCAGGCGAACCTTCACGGAAGGTGTCAAAAGTCTGATCTTTCTACAAAGCAATCAAGATTTTTACGCTCTATTTATTTTTATTATATTTATTCAGCAATTAATTTTTTTTATCAGAAAATTTGTCAGGAAAACTCAGAATAGAAAAGATCAAGTGATATTAATAAAAATCACAATTTTATTTTATAGACTTATGAAATTTGCATACAGAAAATTTGTATTCAACTAACGATGAATTTTTATTAACGATTCTTCTGCTTGATAATGATTAGCGGTAACTTATTACGCATACCGTTATTCTTCGCATTTGAATGCTTATTCAGAGCTGCGCGCACACACACACACACACACACATTCTCCGAGTTCATACCTTTGCCCGGGCTATCCTCTCAATGATTTATTAATCCTCTTCGCCGTGAATGTAATTATCTTCCGAGAAGTTATTTACAACAAGATGTACGACTCACATTATCGAATACCGAGACGGTTAAGTCGTCAAAAACAAAAAACACTATCGTCGGCGATTACAATTTTATTTATTCCCGTTCGTAATCGTGTCGTATCGTAATCATAATTCCGCAATTATTCCGAAATTGAAAAATAATTTATTAATAATTATGATTAAATATTTTACGTCGGATAGAAAATATTTTACGTCGCTTTACTTTTCCCGAGTATATTTTTTGTCGCGCAGCGGCAAATGTTCTTCCTATCGATCGTCACGCTTCTTCCTTTAATCGAATTAACGATCAATTGAAACGATATTTCGCGCGTTATGTCGCGGTGAATCGGTCGTAAAACTATCCGGGCGTTCGATTATGGCGAAGTCGTTCGTTTATTTTTCCGCCGGCGTATCGGGAGAAAGCCGACCGCCGTTCGCGCGCTCGCGCTTGCCCGCGACGACGGACATGGGCTATGTCGTAACGCCGTGGCGCTGTGCAATATTGTTTATGAAAAAGACCCCGCAAAAGGCGACGTCGGGCAGGCACGTGCTCTTGCTGATGCTGAAGCCGCAGCACCCTTTGTCGCCGACTCATCGGCACTAAGAAAATGGGCCGACCGCGAGCAGCGCGGTTACGAAACTTTTTTAATTACGTAATGACGACGTTCGCCCGCAGCAAATATCGTCGTGCGTATCGTGGTATCGCTTATTGCGGACATATGGATACCCGATAATCCTTACCAAAGGACAAAGAATTTATGCAAATTGAAAAAATTATCATCATTCCAATGTTTTAATTAATCTTCTTCGCGAAGAAGATTAATTAAAACATTGGAATGATGATAATTTTAATTAAAATCGCGCGTATTTCGTGAGGTGCAGTAAAAACTGCGTGTCGCAGTGTTCTGGCGGAGTCGCGTTGCAGGAGAAATGGCTGAAAAGATCGAGAAAAAGGGCGGGTCTCATTAAGAAGACCTGCCAAGGCGTGTCGCGTCCAACGCGCTCGTCGTGCAAATTAAATTCACTTTCAAATGTGTGTACAATCGCCTCGCGGAATCCGCCGATTGAAAGTGAACGTGGTGGACGTTTAGAGCGCGTTAGACGGAGCGAGATGACGAATTGCACGAGAGGCAGAAAGAGAGAGAAAGAGAGAGAACGGCGGATTGAGGGGCAGTCGAGGTTACGGAAAACTTACTCCGCCTAATCGATGAAGTGGTCGGTCGGCGGCTTAGACTCTAGATGAATTCTTGATTTAGATAAATTTGCGATAAGAATGCAACGGTATCGCGAATGCTGTCGTGACTCGATTGAAAATTAAAGCGCCCGTAAAGTGTCTCGCTCTAAATTGATAGTATTCTCAATCTATGTTTTCATACAGATGGAAAATTAAAGTTGTTAAAAGTGTATAAAAATGTTTAATTGATCGTTGCTGATTAATTTCGCATTTTCTTCATATACGCTGATTAATTTTGTATTTTCTCAAACAGATTAATAATAAATTAAAATTGTCAGTGTTTGAAAACTTTTAATTGATTGTCGCATGTTAATTAACATCGTATTTTCTCGCGCCGATAGATAATGAATTAAAATTGTGAGCGTTTAGAGAGTCTTGTTTGATCATCGCGTATACATTGATTAATTACGCGACGTTCGCAATGAGTTGATTATTTTAATTGTTCATTTGTCTCCGCGGAATTTTTCTGCGACGAAAACTTTTCCCGCGGTTACCCGGCGACGACGTATGATTTATTTCCTGCTGGTAAAACGCATAAATTACCATAAGGCTGACCGACGAAAGTTTTCGTCGGGAATAAGATTCGTGGAGCGAGCGCACCGTGCGTGCCCGATGCGTGCGTGCTGTTGCATGCTGGAAGATATATGTGTGTGTAGTCCATCACACGTGTGCGGCGGCCGAGTATGCGTCTTTAAACTGAACAAACTCTCTTCTCGTTACTCGCGAATCCCGACGAGCAGATTAGAGAAATTCGTGACTTCGCTGGAACGATGGCTCGGCTATTCGCGATGGAAAATTGCGCAAAACGGATCGCGCATTACGCTATCACGCGCTATTTTCGGCGGAATTTCGCGCGGCCTTTTCGATTTCGCGCACCGGTGTCAACGCGCTTGTTTTCTGCCGGTGCACGCGAATGGAAAGTCGGATGTTCGCAAATTCGATGATAAAACCAGTTGGCTGTCATCGTTATCTCGAGGCGAAAAATGATCGAGCAGGAAGGCGTACAGGATGCGACAAGTAGCGAAAGTCCTGTCTTTATTACGGTCTTTGAAGCGGCTCGTTTTAATGCTCGCGTTTCCTATTTTTTATAGATCCTTTTCTCGATTCACTCGAACGAATCTCACTCGTCCGTTAGATTTATCTGCATCTCTTGATAATAAGTTTCCATTACGTATATATAACTGAAGGATTGGTGTGGATAAATATTAAAAGAAATTGCATTTCAAAGATTCATCATCCAAGGATAATGAATTTCACGAAACTCTAAAGTTATTTCGAGCTAATTTGCATAAACTGCTGCAAGCAAACAATAATAATCTGATCGCAGGCGGCGGCTGAGAGAACTCCGTCTAAATAAACACTGTGATTAAGGCCGGTGAGGCAATACAAATTTCATTAAATTCGTCGGAGCATCGCGGCGCTTCGCTTTCTTTATATAGAAATAGCGCAACGTGTATAAGCGTGCAATAAATTATAACATCGCATGCACTAAGATATACATTTAATACACCGAGTACTTGATCAGGAGATTGAAAAGTTTCTTGAACGAGCGATTTAACATTATGCAAATTTCGCAAAGTCGCGAGAGCGCTGCGAAAGCCTCGTTTCCAAGTGGAAGAAATCGAAATTCGCGTTTCGTAAAATCGCTCGATTACGCAGCACCGGCGAGAGCGGAGAACGTGATTTATAGCGCACTACGTGAAAACAGATGAAAAAAGGAGACCAAACCTGTCTCTCTCGGCTCCGCTGATTCTTCGCTAATTCCTCATGAAACCACCGTCCTCACATCGACTGGCGCTTGAAATGCAAATACACAAGTGCACTATCTCCGAGACAATTGCAAGAGCGAGCGGGGTTAAACGAGCACCACGTCGAGCGAAACTGTTGCGCGGAGACCCGGAAAATGCCCGCCGGGTTTATCGGCTTTCGTTGGGGCCGCGGGACCAGAGACGGTTTTTCGTGCGGATGCGGGGCGAGATCGCGGCGTCCGGTCCGGCCAGAAGACTGCGCGAGTGGAAAAGCCACCAGCAGGAGCGTTGCGCTCCGACCACCATCGTCTGGTTGAGAGCTTTCTACGACCGACGATGAAGGCGAAGGAGGGAGTCGAGCGGTGCATTGGCGTCCTCGGGGCCCGATCGGGCATTGGCGTAACGCCGTCCGAGACTTGAGGCCCCGAATCGAGAGAGAAAGGCACGCGGGAGAGTAAGCGTAGCACGTAGAGGGACACCTGCGTCGCCACCTGACAGAACGGGGCACTCTCGCAACGCGTGGTGCCGGAAAGCGCTCGATATCGATGCGATAAGGTCATTGCTGCGCGCGGCAGCTCGCGATCGTGATATTTGCACTGCGTACCGCGATAGTCATCGGATCACCGACTCCGCCTCGCCAACCAGCTGCTTTGACATATAATTATGACGGGTATATGTGGATGATTATAGCCGCGATTGTTTGATTTCAATTGTCAGATTACAAACGAGATTGCAAACGCGTTAACCGCCGTTTCGCTATTCGTTGCTTCGCGAAAGATCCAACTTTGATTGGATAATAGATAGGAGTGGACGGAATCACACACGATAGGATCGATTCGAACGTATGAATTTTTATGACATTTGTAAAATCGCGGGCGATTCCACACCTATTGTTGAGGTGCGTGCGCACCTATATATATCGCAAAGGGTTGGCGGCTTCTATCAAAGGTCTTTCACTGCCTTCAGGGGATTCCAGGTAACCGTCACGATTCCCTCGTCATCATCTGTCACTGACCAAACCCAGCGTGCACACCTCGGAGGATATATATGTGAGAGATCAATCAGGGAAGCCGAGTGAAAGTGGAACGTTGGACGCTAATGTCTAGACAAAGGATACCTGAAATAATCACGGACGAGATGCACGCCTCGGGGACGTCTCAGATGTTGATAAGGATCTCGTCTATCGCGACACTGCAGTGTGAAATGCAGGAAGTTGGTTTTCCTCCGCTTTCGTAACAGGGACGGCGCACGCACGGCCGGTCTTGAATTTTCAATAAATTATTTCCAGGGTCGAATAAACAGTGCGCTGCCGACACACCGTGTGCTGGAGCAACCGGATCTTTGATTAAGGCAAAACGCGTGATTTATCATACGTTTATAACGCGCGACGTTGAGCACGCAGAATTTGCATGTCACTTGTCGACGACATTCTTCTAATGACATTTGAAGAAGATAATGACACGTCATCCGCGATGTATGCGAGAAGATTTTTTTGAATGCGCAATCATCAAACTGGTTGTAAGAATTATTGTACCTTTGATATTACTTTATGTGACATCGCGCGGAAAATTTACTTGTTACATAATAATGTATGGAAAAAGTCGCATTTAACGTAGTTAATAATTCATCCTACATTTTGCACCGTAAAATTTTCATTAATTTTTTAAATTAAATAAAAAAATTCCGGCAGAGTGTAATTTATCGTTTTATTTCTTCTGCCGCTAATAAAGCAGACATGGTCGTCTTCGTTGTTAATTTTATTGCGAGTTTTGTTTGTACTTGAAAAAGACTGCAAATTTTAGCAATAATTCGCGAAGTAAAGTGGAAGATCCTGCTTGCTGCAAAGAAAAGAGCATCTGGCCTCGTGTCGCAGGTTTATTCGCTGCACGGGATCTACGGCGCTTTCTTGGTCTCCCAAGAAGCCGGCGAGTCCTTTCTTCCTCTATCACTGGCCACCAAGGACGACATTTCGCATTGCTCGTTTTCTCTATTTTCCTTCTTTTGCTCGATTTGAGACCCGCTGTACTCGCGATTGCAGGCTTTCTTCGCGCGGAAGGTCGAGAATCAGGTTCCGCGCGATTTTTCCTATTGGTCGTCGAAGGTTGTCGTCCTTAATGGTTTTAACGGCTTCACCTTAACTTACTCAACGCGAAAGCGCTACGTTATCTTCAACGCACAATATATAACAATTTTTCCATGTTCCGATATTATTACATTTCCATATAAATCTTGATGCGCCCCGCTGTGTTTCAATATATTTTAGTTTGTTCTGTAATTTCTTTCAAGCATATATAGAGTGCGTACTTCAAGATAGGATATGACACTGCAATTACAAACTTATGAGAAGCAGCAGTCGATCAATTTTCCCGTCACTTTTACTATTATCCTGCTCACGACCGCTTGCAATTAGCAGCACCGTTCGTGTTATCCTTGGGATTCTCCCATGCGGAAGAATTTATAATCAAGCCTGATGAATCTCCATTAATGACAACGAAAGTTATATCGGTAATTTAACGATCTTCGGAATATGACGCTACGAAGTTTATGCATTAATAACTGCACGGACGTGATAAACTGTAAAATTAAGTGTATTCCTGCGGATCGATGAGAATTGCGAAAGAGGGTAAAAAGCTGCGGCTGTGGTTCGCGTAACGAGACGCGCATGCAAAGCGCGAAACGAAAAGTGTAACATCGAAGTCAGTATCTGAGAGAGAAAGATAGACGAGAGGGTGGGGTTCGGCTGGTCAGTCACGACGAGCTCTCACTTTCTATTGTCCGATCATGCCAAGAAATTGCCCGGCGTGAATTTGATTGAACGCTCTTGTCGTAAAATCGTTTCTTCAGCTGCAACAATTTTGCTATTAATTCCTCGATTAAGTATTGTATTTTTTAATTTACGATTTCTTTGTATATATGTATATATATATATTTGACACTTCTATTAACATTTCACGGAAGTTTTATACAAAATGTAAAGCTAGGAACATATGACTAAGAACGGAATAATATTTGGTGGAAAAATATTAGCGTTTTTCATTTACAGAATCGTAGAAAATTTCTAATCCTTCTCGCGCAAAATGCTATTTTATTTAGCAGCGATAAGGCAGATATTCTTCATCGGCAAGCTAGAAATCAACGTGGTATTCCAGATACCAGCTTTCATAATCGAACAGTACTCGGATAGCGTCACGCTCGCGAGAAGATTATGTATAAAAAAGTTTATCATTATACATTCGGCTATTAATGAAGTTATAGTAGTTAAATCTTGTTTCCGTTTGCATCCCTGTAGAGCTCGTCGTTGTTGCCGTAAAGTCTCGGAGAATCTTCGCAATCGACCTGCAGGATTAAGAAATAATTAAAAGAGAATTTAAATCGATTAAAAATAATTGCCGCTAACGTCTTAAGAAAAAATCAAATATTTTAGATATACCTTGAACCACCAGTCACAAACGCGAGTTGCTTGACTAAAGACTGTACCATTTGGGCAAAGGAAACTAAACAGACGTCCGTTTGGTAAACACCAATGCCACACCTTGAATCAAATATTAATGCTTATTTTTTTATTTTCATTGAAAAATACTTAAAACAAATTTTTCAATTTTTTTAGACATTATTACTTTAATATTTCAAATTTACGAACAAAATTATAAATTCTTATATAACAAGTTGTTAATATTTCGCAACATGATTTATTGAATAGCTTGCAAATTATTCATCTAAAGATTAATCTGTTATATCAGCTCGCATACTCAATAAATTTTTTTCACCAGCAAGTAGTAATATAATGCTACACATGCGAGTACATTTAAATAATCTCGAATATTGAAATGAGAATACGTTCGGTGACCATCTGGACGCACCTGACATCTGGCCTCAGGATCGGCATAGTATCCAGGTAACTTTCCTCCGCAGGTAAACGTAAGTCCGAACGGCACCGAATTGTAAATTGGATAGTCCACGCCAGGTGTGTAACCATCCACTTGCTGCAAGTTGATTATGCGTATTATGCGCACGGATGACTATCATTGTCCGACAGCTGTCATTAATCCGCTTGCAAATCATTTTTCCCGGTGAGAAAAAAAAATAGGATTCCTTATTATAAATGCGTGGCGTCGTGTTTTTTTTTCTAGAGCAATTACAACATTACCTTGGACTGTACTTGGGATGCGTCTCGATTTGCATTGCAAATCTCGACGATTGCATTGAAACAATTAGGGAAAACAGCGAAACCTGGAGAAGTGTAACCACGCAAACAGCCGCTGTGTTATTGTTCTGTTGGAACAATAACAATACGTTTCGACACATATCATCTCGGCTGCGGAATGTGGCACGAACTGAGAATACACGCCGTAAAATCGCACTTCCTCTCTCCTTAACGCGAGCACGCATATGTTGAACGTTAAAAATTATCCTGGTAAAATTAACGACTCATTTTTACCGCGTCAATTAATTTTACGCGAAGAGAAGCAATAACTATTAAAACATATTTTTTTTTATTACGACTTACACATGTCTGGTGTTTTATAAATTGTTTTAAAAACGTTTTAATTGAACACATTTTATATTTTCGAATTGGAGCAAATTTGCGAATAAAATTAGAAGCGTCAATTTTTCTACAATTGATTAATTAATGGACGTTATTTTAATGATACTAACGTATCAATGCCCTCTTGTCCTTCACTTAGAAGAGGGGTGTGATACGAGATCTTTTCGCAATTGGCTATCTGTCAAAACGAGAAGAAATAAAGAGGTGATTGCAACACGACGCGCCGGCTCGAGACCGTTCAGTGCGTGCACGTGCCAATGTCTGACCGGAAGTCGGGTTACATTGTTCCCCTCAAGCGGATGCGCATCTCCGCGGCTTTGTATGCGATCTCTTGTTTACGATTTCACGTGTATGTATGCAGATGTGTGGTTCCCTTTTTCCCATCACGCTGAATCTAACCGATGACTCCAATGACCGGTAAGAGGGCGAAAAGGTGATTCACTTTTACTTTCACAACACATGTCAAAAGGTTTACATACGTCAAAAGTTAAAGTAGAGTAGTGCAATGCATGCGTGAAAAGAATGCAAATATAAATGTAACAATTTATAATTGTGTGCATTTTTATGAAAGATATTAGCGTAACATAAAAAAATTCCTTACAATGTAAGATATATTATTATTAAGTTTTCTTTATATGCACAAATAATGAAATCATTTTATCATTGTAGAATAACGCGAGAGAGCGTTGAGTCGCGCTGAAGCAGGAAAGTGCGAGTATTGCATAAATTAATTAAATGTTTTATCTTTCCGTTTGTTAGCTTCGTGGCATTGAGGCTGCATCTCCTTTTTCTCGGTTTATTATTCTCCATCCCGATTTTCATCGGTTTCACGGCCATCGCTTCCGGTGAAATATGTCTTCTAATTGGCAATTGCAAGATCGAAGATCCGAATGGCAAATTCAAATATTCGTAAAGGCGTCGCTTTTCTCCGTTGAAATTTATTAATAAATATTTTATAATAAATGCTAGAGATATTTTTAATTGAAAGAAAAAGTCACGTGGCTAATTTATTATATTATATTTTTTGAGATTTTTTACCGCGATGATATCGTATTTATTCAGAATCTTGGAACATAGGGGAAATATTTATGAGTTGCACTTAGAATGCTTTTAGACGACTTCACCTAACGAGGCGCTTCGTGCGCAGACGAGAAAGCACGTTCGCGTAACACCGGTTAATTAATGAATTACTTAATGTTGCCACCTGGAGGAAGATGATGCATGTAGATAAAGTTCACTGTTATTGTTACGCGATACACCGTGAGAAGCTGCGATGAAAATAATAATTTTGTGTTTTAGTCCACCGTGCTAATTTCGTAAATGTGGAGTATTTACGAAATATCTCCCACACCACAACATCACATTGTGCACATTGCGTAAGCCATAAAGACACGCCTTTATAGATTTAAAAATATAATTTTTTTAAATTACTGCAGTATTATTTATAGCTTTTCAGGAAGATTTGCGGAAAAATCAAACTGATGAGAAATGAACTTACCGCCATTGTTTGATACAGTAAAACCGCGCCAAAGAGCAAAAGAGCGCAGAATACTTGGTACCTCGAAATCATCTAAAACATCCAGACATTTTAATTGTACGTTATCATAATTATGTGCTAATTATTTTAATAAAGTAATTACATAAACTAACTTTTTCTCAAGTGTATAAATAAAAAAGTATTTTAATATATTATTATTATTACATTATGTAAAATTATTTTGATAATTAACACATGAATAAAAATGTATTTAAAATACTTATTTATTTACACACTTGAGAAAATATTACAGTTAAGATTTCTTTTACAAAATTTTATGTCAGATAGTTTCTTTTGCTGAGAATTGTTTCTAAGAACCATTATACAACTAATTGATCGAAACGAACTGAAACTATGTGCAAATGAAATTATGTGCCTACCTTTTTTGGAAAAACTGGTCTCCTTAGTCTGCAGTATCGTGCTGCGTGGTGATCATTTATCCTCTCGTGTTCCCTGTCTGTTTAGTTTTCCGCGCACCGCACTTATGGACGGATGGTGACTTACTCGTCTTCTTCGGGTGCGCCAGACGACGTTACTTCCAAAGTTTCTTTCTCAAAGCATTGCTCCACGAGGTGGTGGTATATATATGCTTTAGACACCGGCCGGGAAAAAGGGGGGACTCTTGAGAGTCTCTCTTTCTCGGGGCTCCCACATCAGACGAACGGAGAAAGAGACGATCCTAGAGCGGCGTGGAAGAGGAGGGATGTTCTCCCGTGGTGCAGCGGAGACTCTTCTCTTACGCAATCATCTCGCGGTCTAACACCCGTGAAAATATTCGTAACCACCGTACTTGAACCATTGTGACGCTTTTGCTCTTCTTTCCTTCTGTCTCGGAACAGAAGAGAGTCCGGGCAATCGCGATTATTTTTTCACATGCATCTCCGAATCTTGGCGCAGAAATCTGCGAGACTTCTGTTTCCATTTACAGTCTGGATTGTATATCACATTTAAAACGGTATCAAAACTGTTTCTTTTTTTTTTCTTTAATGGACACACGTATCTCATAGATGTATCTTATCTGATCAAGATGCTTAATAAATTAGTTACTTTTTCTTGGGAGTTAGATGCCTAATTATTCCGGCCGCTGTTAGAATTGCAAACGACTAAGGAAAATGATGTGTGATTATGCAAGTATAAATATAGTTCACATCTGGAGATAAGAAATTTAAATCGCATCGTGATCAGAAATTTGCAATTTAATTCGCACTTTTAACTAATGAGAAAGTCCTTCTTGTTTAGTGGAATTAAGCATATAAACTTGATTATTTGTGTATCAACTTTTGTTTGCTGCGCAAGTGATAAAAGAGATGATATATCAGCCAGAATTTCTTATCTCGGCAGCATTAGAATTACGCATTGGAATTCAATGCTTTCCGACCTTGATGGAATATGATTGACGTTTCGGATTTGTTACATAAACCATCGAATGTTCTTAGTCTGTGCGATCATATCGTTAATTATGGTTTCGTGCGTTTTGCGCAGGAAGGGTTGAGATTGGCGCGTCTTCTCGATCAGATACTATCTTTTTTTTTTTTCATAGATTTTTCCGCGAAACGGAAACGCTCGTCAGCAGCGTCGGGCCCCGAAATGATTCGTTCGTTATCGTGCGGGACAGATCCAAGGTTGCGCTGTCGCTCGATACTCACGGTTGTCCATCACGCCGCGATTCAGCGAGTCTGAATCTACGTCGTTCTGCTTTTTATCGTCTTTTGAAATTCCGCACACAATGGCGAGATGTGACATACATGGTTTTTGTTTTGGCAACTAACGCTTTCATGGTGAATCACAATGAAGCTGGTCCCAGGATAATAAGCCGTTAACGCTAAAGCGATCCTTTAATGGTCATGAATGGACGTCGGCGTGCGCGAGTTTACGCGATCTGTCGCGACGCTATAATTGCGCAATGCGGAAAAGACATTGCGAAATTTCTAAATAACTTCTAAAAGTCCTCTGCGAGGGGATGAATGGCTCGTCGTTTTTTATCTGTGGGACAGCGGTGACATTTGCGGTGAATCCGACGTTTGAATTTCACGCGCGCTGCTTCGGAAAAGTGTTTTCGTAAGATGCGACCTTGAGATACATCGCAGAATTAAGAATCGTGGAGTCGCATTTCGCGCGAGCCATTCATTTGCATTGTCCCGCATCGGCATCTTCCGCTTCGTGCCCCTTAATTTTCGAAACGCGTTTCGTGCCAATTAGCGATGCATAATTGACACCTACGAGTTTTTCCAGATTGATATGTAAACTCGCGGCAATTAGACCCGCGTCGGTTACGAGTTGCTAATTATTCATGTTACGAACCGAACTGTGTCATTTGTTTGAGTTTGCCCTTTGAAGAAAAGAAATTCAAGTTCCAAATTTTTCCTGCAATTTTTCGCATTTTAGAGTTCGACAATTATATTAGCTTTAATATCAAATATTTACGAAAAATAAATTCACAATTTTTAATCATGTATTTTTTTACATCGTGTAAAGCAACTCTTTAATTGTCTGTTCTACGTTTCGTACAGTTTGAATTATGATTGTATATTTTGAAAATGTTGCGTCAACATGTATTTCAAGAACAAGAGGAAATAAAGGCTGGAGAAGAGCGCATCCCTTCTCTGCTTACGGCCGATTTCGCACGGATCGTATTGCGGCGCTCGTTGCGTGCGGATGTCGAATGCCACTGAGTCAGAATTGTGTTGTTCTTAATTAAATTATCTGTCTGCTCGTTAATTAGATATCGGAGTGATTGCAAAATGTACGTAGCAGCCGTGGGAAGGTCTGTTTATTACTTTTGCGATACGCGAATGAAACTCGTTCTGAAAAAGCACCGACGCGCTGTCGCTGAAGAAATGTCTCGTCTATTCACTGTAGAACCCATCATTAGCGCGTCGTTTACGTCGGAAAATGTTGCTGATTTAAATTTTCACTGAGAAATTGTTGACCCGTTCACAGGACTTGAACGAAAAAAATGATTCTGCGGAAAAAGATAAAATCCAAGATTTAGAAAGCGTCACATTTTTATTCAACGTGCTTCTGCACAAACATAGTTGTCGTGGCAAAAGTTTGTTAGCCAACGATCTTTTCGTATCCTTTTTCGTTTAAGTTGCCTGAAACTAAGTTTACATTTTTAATTTTCATAATGTTTGAAATGTCCAAAAATAAAAAGAAAAAAACATTTTCGAAGAAACACTTCGCGATATTCGTGTAGTTCAGCATATTCGCACGATGCGCTGCTCACCCGGTATAAGTCCTCCCGCAATTTCATAACGACTTGACTTCCGAGCATCTTCTTTCCTGTCGCCGGGTGTCGACAAAGAAGTATGAAAGTTATTCTCACGTTTTTACCGTTCGCCGAGCGTCAAATAATTCATCACGGACTGATTTCGAGAGCAAAATCCGCGTCTAGGGATTCCTTGAACATTTGTCGATCACCGGCGCTGTAAGCCCGGTGATATAATAAATAACCGCGGCGCCTTACGACATACCGTTATTAATATTTTAAGCACTCGGGCGAAATAAATGCGCGGGAGACGCATTGTTCGCGCCGATAGGTGCATCTTTCTATATTAATTGCTCATTCAATTACACATTCTTGCGTATATTTTATTACGTCACATTACGCAACGCGATTACGATTGGTATTTGAAATGAAGGATAACTGTAAGGATAACTAAGAGAAAGACTCGAGATCCATAGATCTGCCGGGAGATAGCAATATTTTGGACACCGCAAAAGTTCGCTTCTCGCGATTAATGTTTTCAACGCCGTTGCGTAATATTACATTTCTGTCGCATAAATTTTATTGTGTTTTAAACTTACGTAAGTAATACGGCAATGGGAGAGATCATAATGGAGAGTGAAATGGATGCCGCGTTTTGCTCCGCAACAATGTTAATGACTCTCATTGTTGTTGCTAAATTCACGTATTGAACGCATAACTTTAAATATTGAAACCGCAGCAATTTCTAAACAATTATAATTATTATTCTACCATTAAATTGAATATTTCATGCCTTTTACGACAAGCGTTGAGGATCTCGAGCTATCTTAAAGCTTTTCTTTCCGGAAATGACAATCGCAATTAATCTCGGTCGGCGTCTCAAGCGTGCGTCTTATCGCTCGTGTCGCTTCAAGTTTATTACAGGTGCACTGGCCTAGAGGCGTGTAAGCTGACGTGTACATACATACGTGCGTATACACGCGTATAAGGCTCGTTCCGTTTTATCAGTCAGCGCGACTACGAACGAGCGGACGAACGAACGAACGGCGCGCGGCGCGCGCTGTCCCACATTTCCAGTTGTACGTACGCGACAGTGCATACCGCAGGTACCAAGTCAATCGTTCTCTCCTAGGTATTCCGGTCTCGGATTCGCGAGGAGAGATCCGCGGGCAGAGTCGCAGCGAGCTTCGTTGCACGCGGATGCACCACCGCCGCATCCGCTGTCGCCGCATCGTCGCCCTGCCCGACGTGACGATGTTTCCGGAAGCGAGGGCTTTTTCAGCCGCCACCGCAGTCGTCGCACGCCGCAGGTGCGTCGAACGGTAAGATCGAGATCGGCCGACCGGTCGCACCTGGGTGGAGTGCACGCCATCGAATCCACCTCGATTTAGAACGTACGTGTATGTGTATGTTTTGTGTCATGTCAACCACCTCCGAACGCGGAAAAGTGAAGGTAAATAATCGAGGCGCTTCGCCGCGTTCGATATTTTTGCGATATCTTTTCGATCGCCGGTGGATTGTAGAATTCGTCGCGGGCGAAGATACGGATCGATCGATCTTCCCGTTCGAGCGGATTTTACGCTAGCATTGTGATTCCTTTGATAAAGTATGCCGATAAAGTATTGTGTTTCGTCGCGCGTTGCGATTTGCTCCGGCTGGATATTCATCGCCGGCTCACGGCGATCATTGTAATTAGCATACGGCTATTGTTTAAATTAACGATCGATGGTGCCGCTCAGCATGGGCTATCGTAAACTCCTCGCCCGACACTTTTTTGCCGCGTATCCCGTCTTGCTTGTGTAATTGCACGCATCCCTGCGTCCGCATCGCCGAACAATAAATCGCTTTGCGAATAATTGCGTATGTTTTCTCGTCGAATATTTAATCTTATTTGCTCGTAAATCTGTGACACTTGACGTGCCGCTCTTATCACAGAGACTGATGGTACAATCGCGAGATAAAGCAACGTTCAGATAATGATGGCACTCGTTATTGTTCGAAAAGATATAATAATGTAATAATAATTTTTAATTAATAAATTAATAAGATAAGTGATTAAAAGTTAAAAAAAGTTGAAATAAGAATTTTATTATCTTTATTTCTTAACCAACTTTATTTGTGTCAAATTTCTTACAAGTAAATATCTTTATGAGCTTATCCCGTCGATAATATTTTCTTTTTAAGGTGTTAACTTGATTTACAGGATTACTACTGCATTTTACTATCTGCGTTTTACGATGCGAGACAAAAGAGTTTTAATTGCAAAAAAGTGGAATCGATGACTCTGCTTCTCGTTTTACCCGAGTTATTTATCGGTTGAATTTCGCTTAATTAAATACCACGAAACGAAGTATCAGCAGATCAATACAAACGAAAGACGGATAATTAGGCCGGATTATTTTTATCAGACATCAGATTGAAATGTTGTTTCAAGTACAATCAATTTTTATCCTCTAATCTCTTACAATAATCTTATATAAATCCTCTTTATCAAAGATTTCGATGTTTCAGGAATGATATAACGACAACTTACGTGTTTCTAAGAATTCTCGTGATAAGAGGAATGTTTAATCGTGATGTGACTATTAGATTTGTCTATTTTTTTAAAAATTCAATCCGTTGCATCGTTCGCATTCCGTGAGGACGGATGCGTGGCACGCATCGTTAGAACTCCTTCGTGACACGACCATAATAGCTTCCGGTCAGATATCCAACGGCGCTCGCTTCCGGTCCCCACTCCTCCACGAGTCGCGAAATGAAAAGGGGAATTAGTTGATTTTGCCGTTGTCAGATGTAATCGCGGTGCCGCGTAACATCGTGCATTTCGCCGGTGTTTGCGATTTTTTCCGACAAGCGCGAACATCGTGCCGTTGTTGGGTACGCTCGGCGCTACGCGACGTGTACTATTATGCAAGTAGCGCGATCGCTCGCTCTATTAAAATGTTTTAGACGTTTTATATTTAATTCTCTTTATTACGCAAAAGGCTGGTATTCCGCGAGATATCGTCGGGTATAACGGAGATCGAGGAAACCGTAATAACGAGCAGCGATTCTATTTCATCTGCTAACACACTACCGTTATCAAACATCCGAACCTTCTCTTCTCACATTATGCGTCTGCACCGGCTGCAACGCGCTAATTAATTATCTTGAGATGTCTGCTGATTTCGCAATGCACAGTAACGCGTCCAACGTGTCAAGCGTATGTTTCGCTCGATATTTATATAAATCGAATATTTTAGGAAAACCCATTTTTATCGGACACCCGTTAAGCAGTCGTTGGCGTTAACTGTCTTGCTATTGTACGCGGGTGTAACTCGACGACAGGTGTACAGATGCGGCTACATACAGAGTGTCTCGCAAAAAGCATTTTACTTCCTTTCTTGTTTTCGTATATATCCGTTTTTTTTTTATTCGATAAAAAACTCTCCGTAAAAGTTTCTAAAGTGCGTTTGCCTAAGCAATGAATTACTTTTTGCATATATTTATATTTTGAGAACATCATAAAGTTATGTCTCGTAAATCACTGTAACAAATAAAATTTTACTTTCAGAATATAACATAATAATGTATGTGCACATGTGTGACATATTTTTGAGTTTCACACATACACACACACACACATATCAAAATTTTTATTACGCAGCAATCCCGAAATAACGTATGCGTGGATGCCTCGTAAGCACGAAGCCGAACAACAGAAATACACCACACCTGTAACGGACGGAATACATTAATGAATCCTTCCTCACTTGACTATTGGTCACCTGACTCATTTCCTGTAGACTGAAAAGCCCCCCTCTGGTACGTTCGAAATCGCCGATATAATTGTGTCCCTGCGCATCCACCGGCGAGATGTAATCACCGCGACGCGAGCAAAAACCCAATCATTGTCGCTACGCGTTTACGAAGAACAGCGAAAGTTAAAACTAGTGAATGTCCGTCTGTCGTACTTAATTCTTCCTCACGTTTTACGTCTTTATTTATCATAAAATAAGATTGGAATTTACAATAAAATAATATGCCAAATATATGGAAATAAAAAATGTGTAATTATTTGTAAAAAATGTGATTACAAATTTGAAAAAAAAATTAATTATTACTGTAAGTGAAAAACATATAAATGGAACGTTCTTGCTAAACTTCTTTCAAGGCATAATGAAATAAGTACAAGTTTTGTTTGACCAATTGTATTGTACACTATAAATAGCACAAATATATGGTTCGGTGCAGTGAAGAGGAAGAAAGAAAGAAAGAAGCTTGGTGGAACCAGTCCGGTGCAAGGTGCAACACGTGCTGCCCGACAGCTGTTTTCCGGTTTAAGTTCGGACGTTAAAGTCCACTTTTAATTTCGCGCCCGGGCGCACCGTCAAATAATAATAATTAAAGCGCGACGCGGGATGAATCCTCCGCGTCGTTATAAACTCGCGAGTCATTCATCGCGGCTTACTCATACAGTCGTATCCTGAAGAACATGCGGGAGGAAGTAGATCATCATAAGAATTACAGATGTCACGTTTCGTATTCCACTGTTTAACGAATATAGGACCGGGCAGCGTCGGAGTACAATACATTCAAACGTTGTTTGCAGGTAGCCTGTTATTTCTGTCCAATGTGAGGAAAAACGAGAGAAGGAGACAAGGAGAAACGGAGGAAGCGACAAATTTAGTGTTAACCGCGAAGCCGGCGATCTAGCCATGGAGGACGAGGACTTTGGTTTTGCGAGCAGGACCGACAACGCCCTGAAAAAGATCCTCACCGTTAGCAACGAACGGGCAAACGGCGAGGAAGCAGTTCGCAACGATAAGCCTAAGGTCGGTTTCTCGTTCGCATATGACGTAAAAAATTTTGATGGCACATGTCTCATTGCGAACAGTAATAATTACAGTCTAATGTAACTCTAGATAGAAGGATAGACGTATTTATTCCGGAACAAGCTTTCAAATATCCTTTAAGGACACGCGGTCTACTTCATCGAATTATTTATGAATGCCAGCAATTAGCGTGCATAAGAATTAGAATATTTGTGCAATGATAAATAAATGAACAAGAAGCAAGCTTAAATCGTAAAATCGAATTGCGCCCGTCGAATATTTCAAAGTTGCGAGAGTAGGCGGTATTTAAATGCGACGAGGATTTCGCGAGCCGGCAAAATGATGACGCGAAATAAGCGTGAAATTCGGGTTTTAAAATACACATTTGTGGAAACACGAGAGCAGATTGACATCTACAGCTTGATAAAATGCCATTAGACGTCGGAAGTCGTTGGAGGTGGTGGTGGATCAACAACACCAGCGCCTCCGACCGTGGCCGGAAGCGAGGGCCGTGAACGCGCGTCAACCGCCGCCGGCTCAGTCGTGCCCAACACGCCGGACATACCGAACGTGGTGGAGTATCATCTTAAAGTCAAGCCTAGATCAACGACGAGGCACTGCCGGCCCGATAACGCTCCCGTGAGTAGTGCTCAAGGCGTTCTTGTCGAGAGCGCCGGTAGAGGAACGTGCTCAGGATCGTAAGCTGTGAGAAAATTAACTCGACGTTTTTATTAGTGTTCTTGATTATTAAAATGTTTACCGTGTGTCAAGCATCATCGTCGTAAGTTATTCCACGATTCTGCCACTTGGTGCTTTATTTGTTCTTCACTTAAATGCGATGTTTTTCGAGCCTCTTCTTATTCGTTGTGTCATCAATTAGATCGTAGATAATTCCTCTTGGATTATTTAATAATCGATACCTAAAAAAAAAAAAAATTACGTTAGTAAAACATTAAGAAATGCGAATTTGAAACAGAGGGACCAGCTTTTGGAAGAGATGAAGAAGGAGAAGAGTCCTGTGTCTGTCGATGATAAGAGAAAAGATCTCGTGTCGAAACTGTCGCGGCTATCCATCGACAATAATGTCTTCGAGGGCTCCACCGACTTGCCGCAAGTGTTTCAGGTATAGTTTTCGAAGCAGGACCTTGAGCCTTTCGAAAGTTTACCGTTAATATTTGCTTTATACCTGGTTCGGTAAAATATGAGCTGACGAAGTTAATGTCTTACTGCAATAAATCAATCGATATATCATTTTCTCTTCTGCTTAATATAAAAATTACATTTTCTAAAGAAAAATTTATATAAAAATTTGCCGAAATATTGTTATTAATTTGAAAATAATTAAATTGCATAATTCTTTTACAATTAATCTTCGAATTTTTTAAGGTTGAAATTTTTAAATGAAGAGAACAGGACGTGTCAATAAGAAGCTCTTGATTAAGGAGTAGTTCTTGCGGGCTCGTTGCGTGACGGAGACTTTAAACAGACCGTTTTCAGGTGAAGTATCTGGGATCCCACGATGCAAGAGGCCTCTGGGGCATCAAGCACACGAGGAGGCCCGTCGATAACATGGTTTCTGCCGCGAAGGCTCTGCCAACCAACACGATGCTGCCTCTTATCAAGCTGGTAGTCTCTCAGGAGGGAGTAGCCTTGCTGCCACTGGACAAGAGGAAGCAGGACGCTAACTTATCCAGGATGTATCCTATCGAGACGATCTCTTACGGAGTGCAAGATCTCGTTTACACTAGAGTCTTCTCCATGATAGTCGTTCGCGAAACGGAGAATTTCCGAAGAATCTCTCCGTTCGAGTGTCACGGTTTCGTTTGCGAGTCCAAGTACTATGCGAGGCAATTGACATACGCTCTCGCCACAGCGTTCGAAATTTACTCCAAGACTGTGAAGGCTCAGGATAAATTGGCCGCGGTTTCCGGAAGCAATTCATCCAGGAAGAGATTCGCGATTGATTTAAGAAGCCCCGAGGAGATCGAGGCGGATCTCACGATGGACTCCGAAGCGTAGTTTTCGATATCTGCCGTTATCTGTTAGATTAAGATATGAATTTAGTCAGAAAATATTTGAAAGTCTTTGACGTACATAAAAGAAACATAACAAAGAATTAAATTTTATAACTCGCGAGAATTCTATTTTAATTCGATTTCGAATTCGATTTTATCCCGTCGCGGATGCAAAAATCAAAGAAGATTTTATGTTACATTTATGTTTCGACACAGATTTTTTGAAAAGGACAATACAGGGTATAAAAATAGTACTAGACCTTCAAAAAAGTATCATTGAATTTTTGTCACAGTGAAGGAATATGATTGTATTAAGTCAGTCACTTTTAATTTTAATTTTTATAGTAAAAAATTGACTTATGCAACATATAAAAAAAAAGATTTAATATATATTCTTGTATGTGTTGAAGTAGACTTATTAAAATTTAATACTTATTATTCAGATTAAGCTTGTAAATAGTCGCGTATAAAATCGCAGTAATTATGTCGAGTATAAATAATCTTAGATATTAAATGCATTATTTTTTACCAATATCGCGGACGCAACACATTTTTATACATTTTGACCTAGTCGAAACAAAAAACAATTTCTTACATAAAAACCAATATAAAAAATATGTTTTAATATACACATAGAGTTCTTTTTTAATATCGCGATGACATAGAAAGTTAAATTTATTCATTTAATATTCGAAAAGAAAAATTGCATCTATGTCGCGCTCCAATTTCGCGCTTCAATTAGGAAACAAACAGATGTTTATCGCCAGAGTGTTATTATATGGATATGAGTGTTGTTGCTTGTTTTATTATTTTATCGGCATTACGAAAAGTTGGACGGGCCTCGCCTATCCGAGACATGATGGCTAGCTATCCAAAGATACCGAATAGAAAACGACGGAACGCGGGAGTTGTGGATGATGTTTTAAGCGTCGCGACGACTTGTGCGATTTCACGAAAATTTTATGACAGCCGACGAATCGGGCGATGATGTTGGATTTTACTTCTAGCCGCTTTATGTGTGCATGTGTATTTCTAGTTTAAGTTGTCAATACTTTGAAACTACGTTATAATATCGGCGTGCATTGAGAGATCTTCGAGAACACATATCGTTCGAAGACTTTCTGTTATAACTTAACGCACTTTTATATTCTTTTTTGTTGTTTTATTTTAAGTTCATGAGACCAATATCGACACATATCAATCATTATAAACGCATAGTGTTGCCAGCAACACTTTCTTATCGCTGTGTACATTGCTTCGTTTTAATAAGTTTCTTTCTCTTATCTTTTTTTTTTGTATTACGGCGCTTGCGACACTGTTGTAACACGATTTTTATGCACTTTAGGCTTGGGACATTCGTGTAACGTTCTTCTTCGTATAATCATAGCCTTGTGCTTTAGCTATCAGTATTAGATATATATTTGGCCTGTACTTATTCCATTAGCGATAAAAGTAATTTTACAAGACTTTTTATCGTCGGATATCTTTCCTTAAGGCTATAATCGTATATATACTTCATTGTCATTCTTGTAAAAATATGCAAAGGCATATATGTACAAATGCAACGAGGTGAAGGAAGATGTCAGCTTTACTGCAACATCTTTCATTTTATTTATCGAATAATTACAGATGTAATTTTTGCACATACAATTACGTAATATACGTATTCCACTGGTACTGTACAGAATTTTATTTCACACATATTTATCACACGCCATACAATTACGTCATCAGATAACGATACTTTACATCATTTGCGTGACAATAATTTAAATTTTAGTCCTACGCGCTACTTGCCGCGTTACGAGCGCTCTTGCGAGGCAGGCGAGAAAACAAGCAATCTACAAGCGATTATCTTAAACAAATGAGCATTTAATCAATCTCGATCGAGATGAGTTAAAAATTGATGTCATTTTTAAGCCTGTTGGCTAGCCGTGTCGCGATATTTCATAGAGCAGTCCTTTTCGAATGTGAGCCAGGAAAAGTATAATTCTTACTGATGCCAGAACAACCTCTCTCGATTTGTCAATCTCGAATTTCTCGGAGATTTCTTCGACACCGTTTCCAGTCCGGGTTCAACAGTCTTCGTGATGTTTTCCTTCCCTCGTTCCTCATCCGCCTCCTCCTCCTCCACCTCCTTCCCGATATCTTCGTTCAAAACATAATATTTTTCCGATTCTTCGCACGGTATCGAGCTTTCTGTTCGTGTGCATACGAATGTCGCCTATGAATAAATCGAGAGATATTTTAGAATAATATTATTTTTGTTCTTAACCGAGATTAAGTAGAAAATAAATAAACCACTGCGTTTAATCAATGTCAGAGCCTTCTAATTTTTTTCTTTTTTTTTATTTGAAAATCAAATGTCGCTGATATCAGTTTACCTGATTGAACACCGTCTCGCCGGGGCAAATGAAGCTCCATCTAATCGCGCCCCTCGTTTGCGGCATGCACACATGAAACACTTGACATCCGTTCTCCATATCAGCGTAGTATCCGTAAATCCTGTCCTGGCACGAAAATGTGTCAACGATGTTCTCGCGAATGAGAGTCGCGTTATCGGGCAGCAACAAGCCACCGGTTACAGGTTGCTGGAAGATTCGAGTGGAAAGTTGAATTACTTCGTGAATAGCGTGATTTTTTGAAAGGTTATATCGTAAAGTAAAAATTGATGTCCAAAACCTTATAAACCGGCGTGGGCCTCTTAGACTTGGACTGCTGCGGCACACTCAGAGCTATCGCGACAAAACAGAGACATAACACGACGAAGAACTTTTCCCGCGCCATGCTTTAACGGGCTGTCGCAAGGTACGTGTCTTCTTTTTCTTATTTCTTCGCGCGCCGGTGGTCCCTCGTCGCTGCGGTTGGTTTCCTCGACAAATGTGATGTTTTATCTGGAGCTCCGTGTTCGGGAATCTTGAGGAGACTGATGATGTGATCCGCGGAAGGGTGTTATATAGCGAACTGCGCGTAAGGATCTTGAATATTGTATGAATGGCAGATTCTCGGTACACTGAAATCAGTAAGTTTATCACGTTTGGTCTGCCAATGACCATCGTCAGACGTCCACATCATTTTCGAAGGCTCGATGCAAATGCCGCTGCTCGCAGCTTGATGATGTGCTCATTTGGCAATTTTTATTTATTTCGCTCTTAGAGGCACGAAGAAGGCACCTTCTTCGTTGGCGATTCTCTTTACATAGATCGACAATGTGTGAGAGGATCTTTTCTTCTAACTTTGCTGTTTGATAAATCGTTTACTTTCGGCCTATTGTTAAATTAACTGAGCAATTATGTATGTAATTAAACTCTCGTAAATATGATGTATTGTGGTGTGTCATGGTATCATAAATATCTTTATGCATTTCCATGTTCTTGAACTCATTTTTAACAATTGTCTCAAGCGCGGAAAGTAATTGCTTACGAAACGACGTTGTTCGCAAAACAACGATGTATTGATAATTTATCAAGACATTAGCAGTCAGACGTGTCCTGCTGAGGAAGGATTATTTCTAAAAGGAACCAAGTGCGTTGAATCGTCTATGAGAGTCCCAGAGATACGCGCAGCTCGAAGGCCAGATAAAAATGACACGCGATGCAAATAAATGTGCCGAAAGGCATCGAAAAACGCTGACGTAACCAATTTCTCTTACAATTCAAACATTTGTTTTTGATTGTAACTCTCCTCATTACACAGACCTGTTTCTTATATCACTCAATCTGCCTGAGACAAGATACGTTGATTGCATTCCGTGATTGGCCATGTTCCAATCGATGCTTTGAAAACGGGGTGCCGCGCAAATTCGGCCGTCGAAATTCGAGGGCATCCCCGAGACTTATCTTCGTTAAGGCCGCGTCGCCAGCGGCATTTCTTCGGGATGTGAATACTTAATGCTTTCCACATAGTATGTATCCGATGATTACGAAATTGTTTTTGATCATTGACGGTGACAAATGTTCGATATATTGCAATTTCTTTTTGGAATTAGACAGCTTTTTAAGCAGTGCGTATACATATAATTTTTTTTCTCTCTTTGTCTTTTTTCTTTAATAATAAAATTAACATTATTTCTATTTCAAATGTATGTGTATTATAGGTTTTATTTTTTATTCTTTATTTCGAGGATTAAAAAATTCGGAGACAGAAGACCTGAACTGCGGCTGGCGGTGCGTCAGTGCATCGCAATCGCTGCACAAATCTCGTATATTTATCGTGGAACCGATCAGTAGCAAGGTAAACACCCTGAAAGTAACACCCGCTCCTTAAGGATTCCAGTCGCATTGTCCGCCGTGCTATGACGAGGAATACAAAGATTTTAGGATGGTCCACACCGGCGCGGCTGAAGAAGGTCACGCGATTCGTGCATCGGAACCGCCAAAGTTTCTCTCTGCAGCGACAATTTTTCGACGCGATTCTACGCTTCATCAATAAAAGTAATATCCGCTTAGAAAAGAAATGTGAGAGAAATTGTACTCTCATATGGTTTATTATCAAAAATTTCAATACGTACATGAAATAGAAATTAATCGGCGGTTGTTATTATAAATTATTTCTAGAGAAAATTTGAAAGAGGATGTGTAACATTGCATTACGGTAAATATTCACAGAGAGACATTAGACTTACAATTAGACCTACGTGCGTTTGCTGAGTCACGGTACGAGTAATATCATGTTCTTTTAATTATAATAGATGATCCTAAGGAATCTCGGCGTGGCGAGCTAGAACAGGTACTCGTAAGTAACTTTGGTATGATTCAAGGCGATTAAGGAGTACTATTTTCATATATGATAATTACTGAACTTTTGCAATTCAGAGAAATCTTCGTTCATTTGTTATTAATTAATTAAATTAAGGATGATCGGCATGACATATATATATTGGCATGACGCAATAAATTAAATAAATACAATAAATATTGCGTTCCAAATGATTTTCAGACTAAACTCATTAACTCTAAATAAATAAAGGACGATGACTATAATTATTTTACTATGAGATTTGCGTCGTTGCTCGAAACTTCTTCGATTTTTCCCTGCGCAAAATCATTGTCTCTTCGGTGCCAGATGCGTGCAATGTCGATGTCATTCCGTGGGCACGTAAGCGCGATAAGCGAGCTCGTGAGGTGTCTCGTTCGATGATCTTCCCCAATAATGATCGTGATCGTCGTGATCGTAATGGTGCTGATGCTGCGCGTGTTCGTAGTAGATGACTTTGGCAGGATGGCTCTTCTTGACTTCTATCCAAAATCTAACGGCGTTCAGTATCAATGAGATGACGGCGATGACGAAGAACTTGAGCTGGAAGTGCGTGCTGATGAGCTGCAGCAGCAGGCTGATCTTCGATTTGATCAGCATCGCCAGCCCCAAGAGTTTCGCCAGATGCTTTTTTTGCTTCTTGCCGAATTTCTTTTTGCGCGCCTCTTCTAAAAGACAATATAACATTTCATTGCGTCATTCAAGTTTTCTTTTTTTTTTTTGCAATCGAAAAAAAAAGATCTAGGAAGAACGCGACAGATAATTGAAACTGAAAGCGAATATCGTTTTTCGAAAGTGCGATCTCTGCGGCATTAGAGAAATTGCTTTAAACTTCAAGTCTGGACTGAAATAAACGAGAGGCAATCTGATAGGAAAGCATAAGGATGAGGACGCAGTCTCCGCACGGGTTGACCCACAAACCTTAACTTCGAGTGTATTTCGTTTGACGTTACAAGCCACGTAATCGTCTGCAACCGGTACGGCTTTCTTAAAATAGAGTCACGTGGATCGCTTTCGCGGCCGAATTTTCTCCCAGCGTAATAAAAAATATCTCTCCCCTGTTCGCGAAAATGTCAATCATTGATACTCCGTTTCATTCTCGTTCGTCGACGAACTTTAAATCGATATAAAGCATAGCGAATTGACGTAATGCCCGACGAATTACTCCATTTATCGTCTGACAATTTGCTCGGAAGTACCGTACAACTTTATGTACGCTCCAAAAAGTAACAAAGATAATGTAGGCGCGGTACCGTTATCGATCATCTGTCAAAATGAGGCTTTTTCGGCGGGCCGTTTTGTTAGAGCGAGCCTAATACAAGCGTAACGTTCTGCGAATACGTGAGAATTGACGTTCGCTGCCCGACGTTTGCCTCTTTCCTCCCGCACGATCTTGCGCATCTGTTGACTTTTGCCGGAAAAATAGCTCGGGCAACGAGCGGGCGACGTGATCGGTACCGTTACCGTCGATTTGCCCAAGTTGTGACATTAAATTAGCGCAAACTGCGTCGCAACGTCGTCGGCGACACGCGCGCGCAAGCATAGTCGCGTGCGCGAGCGCGAAACATTTAAACGGCTCGCTGTTGACCCAGACGGACACTTGCGGCACCGATCATGCATTAACTTGCGGTTCACCTTGTCTCCGCCGCGGAGCGTTAGCTCTAATTTTTGCGTCTACGCACGCGATTGCGCCCAGCCGAACGTTAACGTTATGCAAACGCGGGACGAGAGGTTCGTTCACCTTTAACATCGCGCTGCCTGTATTTCGAAACTCGCTCGCCTTGTTAATGCGAATTGCTCTGTTGCGTGATCTAAGATATGGCGCAGTTAAACGTCGTTCATTCATAAAGCGATTGCACTTCTACGATTGTCGATACTATCGCTTTTCTCGCTGGCACTGATAGCGTTGCGCGATATTTTTGTTCGCGTTATTTGTTAGTCGATTTACAACTATATGTTTTTTAATTTTTGCGTGAATTAATTACGTATTACATAAATTGCGATCAGAAATTTTGCAGTGAATAATAATGTACGAATGTTAGTTATCATAAATTAGACTCGTATAAAAATTCAACTTTCGCATCCGTTTCTCCGTTTCATTTAAAATCGTGCTGACTACAATGGCATCATTTAAAGAAAATCAGCAAAACAAGGTACATAACGGAAAATTTAGAAAAGACGAGGTATATAATAGAAAAGAAAATCGACACGGTAATTTCCAGTGCTTTCAGAGATGAACCGACTTCCTGTCGTTGCATCTCTAATAAGGAAAACTAGTACGGGATTGGTAAGAGCTAACCGACTTTGTTCAACGGTGCTTCTTTGGAAATATGAAAAAACGTCTGATGTGCGTGGACAACTTTTATCACGTGTCTTGCCTTTTTATTGCTTAAGAATTTGAAATGCTTGTTGAAAGCCTGTCGATCTCAATTCGCGACAGATTCATTACGCGACAATGCCATTCATCGGTGTCCTATATTTCGGCAAACATGCATGTAATTTTAAAATCTTAATACATCGCAGTAGTATAGCATAATATAGTATAATAAAATAAATAGCTGTGTGTTATCAGTTATCAATGATGATATATTATCGAAGCGGTAAGAAAATCCGAGATTAAACATTTGCATGATCGATCAACTGCAATAGAAACATATATCGGTGGAACGTTTATTATAATAATAAAGATTTAGCCAAATAACGGGACTGATGTATGAATAAAAGTAAAATTATTTCTTGTTTTATCGGCGTAATAGTTTTGCGATCTCATTCTCACCTGCGTTGTCATTTTGAGCCTCATTTTCCTCGATAATTTCTTCCGCATCGGCCTCCTGCAGATCATCGACAAAGTCCGCGATGACACTGCCAGCTCGTTCGACCACCACGCTTATCGGTGGATCGCTCTGTTTTCCGGTGACATCCAACTCGATCCGGTCCAAGTCGCGGGCCAATCTCGTCCTGAAGCAACTTCCAACATTGTCCTCGAACATACACTCCAAAATGCTAATGTCTTCTTCTTCTCGATTGCTCTTTCCCGTCGCCTCGCAACGGACGTACAGAGCGAGTCCAAGAACGAAGAAAACCGACGTAATTATCTTCATTGTTATTTTCGAATATGAAATTGATTTTCACCGATCGAGACGCACTGTTATCCACCACGAAAATCGCGCGATGACTCTTCTAGCGACTGGCCGTCACTTCCGTCACCCTGTCGTACTCCGGCTTTCTTCTCTCTCCGATCTTGACCGTCAATCGTTGGCCTTGGACCGCGTGTCACGGACTCGAAGTGGTTGTGGAGCGTGCGTGGTCGAACATATATGAGACTGGTGTCCCTTCCATCCCAACTTCCGCCAGTAGTGGGTTTGGTTTCACGAGAGTCTAGTGGACACCCCTCCACCGTGGTAAATATTTGTGGGCGCCACGACGGAACTTACGGTGTCTTCCCGCAGGCATTCCGGGCCTTGTCGTGGACCAGTGTCGTGAATGGAAAAGCATTCGATGGAGATGGATATCATCGCTATACAGTATTGTAAATAATTTATACAGCGGTAATGAAATCGACTTTCATTCTTAATGTTATATTCCTATTTTTCTTTTATTTTTATTTCTTGGAATTTTATCACAAAGAAGAAAAAAATCGAACATTATGAAATAAAAATTCTATTTTTATATATTTGAGGTGGTCTTAACATTTTTTTGTATTAAGTAATACATTTTTACATAATGGATACATTTTTTTTGGATAATTTGTGGCAAGAATTTCAAGATGGTCTGTGAGAGATTTGACATACATGATTATACCTGGAAGACAAAAATTTCATGTGAACTATAATTTGATGTTAATACAACCCAGATTCGTCCGCTTTTATTGCCGTTTCAAGAACGAAGAGGAATCAAATCGCAGTGAAATCGTCACTTTCGAAAAACGGCCTAATGGCTTGCATGTATTTCTATAAACGTTCTAAAATATTTATTATACCTTTATGTAATTCCAAATTTATTCCGTTTGATTGGCTGCATTTATTTCGAATATTATATTACTTTTTAGTTTTGTATCGCTTGCAAATCTCTCATTAGTAGAATTGAAATATCACTTACTTAGCGCTCGTTTGATTACCATATGAACGGCATTTCGCTATATAAAAGGCCAGAGCTTCGAAGTCACGCGTGCGCGCGTGACAGCTCAACTGTCACAACGTTCCTCAATGGTTCTTGTGTTGTTAATTGACGAGCACGAATCCCGAAACGTGTTGCCGACTGTTTCGTGAATTATTCATTAATTATTCAAGAATAGTTACTTTACCTTTCGCCGCACGATTATATTCGCCCTTTTGCATAACTCGCTCGCGTCGCTTTAATCGTCAATTACGAGGCGTAATAGGCGATACGGTACGCGATTACGGCTTATGATAATTTGCGCACAGGTGAGATTGTATGAAACCTGTCATGAAACGAAATACGGCTTATCTGCGTAAAGGTCCTCTCGCGTAGACATTTAATACACTTGCTTTTAAAAATTAAAATATTTTTTCAATATTTATATAATATCTGCATAATTTGACACAATTATGTGAACCAAGAGATAAACTTTATAGAACAAAAATGCCAGGAGTGTAAGCTTTCGTAACCGTTATCTCGTTATTTACGTGATAGTTTAATCACGGTTTGTTACTCTCAAAGATGAATTTCGAGTCATGCTAGTAATAATACTTGAAACATCTGGCTGATGCAAGTTTAACACTTGACTTCATGTATGAACATTTGTGTAGGCATAATATCGTAGGAAACACGCTAGCTTTTCCTCGCAGAAAGTTTTAACAATATACGAATATAATGATGTGCTCAATTGCGATGGATTAATCTACAACCGCTTTTACTGGTCTGTCGACATTTTTCCACTCTCGCACCACTCTCGTTCCTGTTAGAATTTCTGTTAGAAACTAAAAGAGTCACCATATGCATACACATGACCCATTTTACAGTGCTGCGCTCAAATAAAGCGTGAGAAATCTAAATTTTAAATTTCTCAAATCTAAATTTAAATTCTGAAACTAATGAAATAAATTTTTATACTTCTTCCATTTATTTTAAGTTTAGTAGCAAGAAACTTAATCTAAGTCATATGTTTACATGTGCAAGTTAACATTATGAAGAGTTATTTTATAATATATAATCAAAGAATTATTAATTTGTTTATAACAAATTATTTCTGTCTTAAAAGGTCAATTTTGTTGATTAAAAATTTTGCTCATTTCTAGATGTGTGGCTTAATGCTATTTAAATAAATGTTAATATATTTTGTAATAATTCTCAGTTAAAGTAAAATCGATATTATGAAATCGAGTTTACGGCCAATACCAGCGAAACAAATATCCTTTGAGACCGTGCTTCTCGTCGGCCGCGTTCGCTTGCGAAACGAACGTGATGTTGGGTTGATGTCCGAACTCATTTGACAGATATCTCACTTGCGTTTCGACACCGTTTTCGCTCAGCGACCGATAACTGCCGTCCTTCCTTCCGTTGCGATATCCGTCCTCGTGATGGCCGTGCGACGTTATCGTGTAATTGAACTGATAATACAGATCGTTCGCCATGTTCTCCAGCACTTGATCGCTCACCTTATTCGGATTATCTTCTTCGGACAATAGTTTTTTTGCGGACCGCACCATGCTTTTCACAACGTTTCCGGGTTGGTTCTTGTTGTTTTCATTTTTAATCTTATTTTTCTCTTCTGCAAAATTTTGAAATTAAAATGTGTAAGTTGTTTTCTTTCATTCAACGCAATTCTCGATTTTTTGTTTAATTTACCATGTTTTTCCGACAATATTTTCATCATCTGCTTCAATATCGGATCCATCTTTTTCTGCGGTAATTCCGTAACGGTCTTCGTAGGTTTCGGCAGATCACCTTGCGGGATTTTACAACCGCTGCAAGCCTTTATCACGGCTTCCACTAATTTCTTCGCTGCTTCCGGTCTATCTTTGAATATCTCTTGCGCATCTTTCACTTAGTAAACAAAGACAAGCGGCCGGAAATTCAAAATAATTAAAACATGTAAATTTAAACTCATTATTTTAGTAATAAACGCAAACTCACAACTCGTTATTTTTCGATTTCTCTGTTTAGTGATAATATAATCGCCATTTTTGTCGGTGGCATATCCAGTCTCGTGATAAACACCATCGGCCGTAATGAAACCGTATTCGCCGTTAATAAGTCCCTCAGCATCTCAATGAAAAACAGACAGAACACGTTAGTCATATCATTTAATGAAATAAAAATTTTTAAATTTATTTTGTGATGATAAAACTTCTGTTTCTCGACGCATCTTTGATCGGTATACCTTTTTTCTCGAATCTGTGCTGAAAATCGACGATGTTGAAGGAGAACTCGTACGGTCTGTTATCGTCCGCGATGGCGCGCTGCGCGACCAGATAACATAATAAGCACAAAAGGTTGCACCATCTCCCCTGCAACGAAAATCGCGTCCGCGTTAAACGTGAAAACGTGTATTTTCCATCAACGGCCTTGGATCCTCACCACGAAGGACGACATCCCGCGGAGATCCCTGCGGCTTCGAGTTCGCGCGACTGAATGATGGCACGAGCGAATCCTTCGAGCGTGAAGCGGTGATGTAATAAGCGAGAAAAACGTTCCCATCTTCTCGGTGGATTATCTATAAAGCGATCTGCGACATCGCATATCGAGGGAGAAGAGGAAAGTGTGAAGAAGGATTGACGAGAGGGAAGAATCGGGAGGCCTTTGGCGATTTTTTCGCGGCGGCTAAATGCTTTCACGCGTGTCGCGCACCCGGCTAGAAAATAATTACACGGAGATTATCAAAGATTGTAAATCGTCGCGGATCGAACATAACGTTGTCGCAGATTACATTCTGCGCTGTACAATTTTATAATGCTATCTATGGCATAGTATTAGATCATCGATGCATTCTTGTCTCAATGAGTGACACAAATACGCAAGAAAAACAGTTAATATTTATCTAGAATCTTCGTTCGGATCGTTCAGAGTACACACAATGCATCTTTTCCGTTCCTTTTAACATGACTATTTTTTTCTAATATCATCACTGCTTTTGTTCTAAAAAAAGGAAATTTAAATATTTGAAAAGTAGAGAGAGAGAGAGAGAGAGAGAGAGAGAGAGAGAGAGAGAGAGAGAGAGAGAG